TTATAATAAAAAGTTTTTGTATTGATTTAGAAATTTTAAACCAGGACATTGCACAACTTTGTTGTATATTATCATGATTTGAGGCAGAACTGGAAAGAAAGAAGCATCCTTGCACTTAATATATACAGAAGAGGGCAATCCTTGTACGTGATGGTCACAGACAAGCAAACTGCATTTGCTGCCACAAAAGAGGCTATGCTTATACCTGCTAAGCCACAGGAGAGGCTACCCTCATACCTGCCAACACAAAGAAAGCAATCCAAGAACAAAGTAATCTCCATTGATTGCTTAGTTCTTGTGTTTCATTCATTTTTTTGCACCTGTTTTTCATTAGGCGTTCACAATGTTGTTTTACTTTACCCCTAGGCTTAAATTCTGCTTGGCACACTCAGTTGCATCAGAGAGCTTGGACATTGTCAGTTTAACCTTCTGTGTATCAAAAACAAAGTCATGGACCCATTTTTTACATTTAAATGGACTCTCATTACATTTTTGGATTCCTCATCTCAATTAATAGTAGATGGCAAAGTTTTATAAAATTAGCCCATTAAATTTTGAGAATGAACTCAATTCTTTAGAAGTCCATAGAAGACATGCTAGTTACTATGGAACATTGCTAAACAAAGTTGTGCAATTCATGCAATATCACTTTGTCATGTGTGCTCATGCTACAACCTTATATCTTGAAAAGGAAGTCATGGATTCCTCATTTTTTATTACACTTTTAGATTCCTTGTTGCAACCAATGGTAAAATGGTAAAGTTTAATCAAAATTGATTAAATAGATTTTGAGAATGAATACAATTCTGTAAGCCACATAGAAGAGGCTTCACTAACAATCTGCCTCAAAGAAAATACTTGTGTCAATTCTGTATAGATTATTTCAAATTGATAAAATAGTTAAATTTAATGCTTTAAAAATGTTTTGCTGTAGGTTTCAAATATACTAATAATTAAAAATATGTATTTCCAAAAACCTAAATAATTCAATTGTACATTTTTCTTATTAATTACAATATAATACAATAAGAAATTTTATTGCACAAAAGCAAGTACAATATGGCTGAACTATTGGTAAAAACTATTTTTTAAATTCTCCAAAACAAAAATTATAATTAAAAAGTTTATAACAAATAATTTATAAAAACAAAATACACATATACAAAAGAAAAAAAGAGAAAAGAATGAGCAATTGTAATTTTTTTACGTTTGCTCTCCACTTAGTGCCATTGTCTGATAATTCATAGAGTGTCAATTGCATTGCTGTATGTGTCTAATACTTCACAAAATGGAAGGCAATTTGCAATAAATTATGGAAATTTTTAAAATGGCAGCAAAGCTTTCAACTTTAAACTGAAAAATATAAAACTTCATTTTATTTTGTATTTAATTTTTTAACATTTAATACTAATGTCTTACTTAACCTGCCATTATTAAAAGCCATTTGTTTCCATACTTCTGTTTTTATATTCTCAATTTTATAATTTGAGTCTTTTTCTCATAAAGAATAGGATGTTATATGATACTCTCCAACAGTTTTTCAACAGCAATATCAGATCATTCAATATACATATACAAACATCCCAAAACCTGATATATTTGTAATAAGCCAAACAAGTACTACTTCCAGAATATTCTAAATTGTTTAATTTATTTTATTTTATTATAATTATTAAATTTAATAAGAGAGGGCACCTAACACCTCCTACTAGTGACAAATTATTTGGAGATTAATTAAAATAATTGGAAAAGTAGCCCAATGTAATCTGGCAGTTGTTTAGACCATCTAATATTTGCTATTTATTATGGGTGCTGCATACTAATTGGTTATAACAAAATCACCTCATGAAAATATACATTGTCCTAGTACTCTGTCACCAAAATACTTGAAGGCAATTTTACCAAGCATGAACAATAACAAAGATGATAGTCACCTCAAAATTGCATTAAGTGGAGAGCCAGCATTAATGTTGCAATATAATTTTATCTACCATATATTATAAATATACTTTAAATAGATATCAAAAAACATTTATTTATATTAATATTATGGTACTAAGAAATAATAAACATATTTACCAGGAATATTTACTGACTAGCATTCCTGCTATTAGATATTGCATTTTAAGGAATTCACTTAATCCAGTATATTGATAAGTTAAAATTTTTGGCATTTTATGTCAAAATTGAGTTTGGTAAGTACAGGAGCTCCTCTAGTTAAGAATGTTCAACTTATGAATTTTCAGACTTGTGAACAATTTGACTGTATTTTTAGCATACTGTATTCTTGCTGGTCATGGGGTGGTGTTAATCTCAGTCTTAACCAGTAATAAATAATTAATGTGGATTTATTTCTATCACATAAAACCAATTTTTGTTTATGATGTCAAAGTTGATAATGTGGAGTAGCAGTGTTTTTTGCAATTTTTATAAACTTTTATGATTAATGCTTCAGAAATGCATTCAAAACGTAATAATAAAGCTAGTAGTGGAGATAAATGTGTCACTCTATTACCATGGAAACTAAACCAATCCTTATAAAAGTAAGCACGTTAGGTAAAAAAAAAATCCATGAGAGTAAGCAATCACTCACCACACCAAGATATAGTTACTGATATATACTGAACCAATTACAGTGTGAAGATGACAAAAACAAACAAAAACAAATGTTTTTGAACTCCTTCTGAGTCCTTTATCAGGTTTATTTTTGTTTGTTTTTGTTATCTACACACTAATTGGTTCAGTATACATCAGTAAAAAAATCCGTGTTTGAATAACCCTACTAAGCAGTAACAAGCAGATAAACAAGCTTAATATGTTCTACTAAGTACATTGAAGGATCAAACACTAATAATACATGGTTATTCTGTGTACAAATGTACTTTCTAGGTTAGTTTTTGATTTATGACCACACCTTGGTAACCTAACCTGATCATAAGTAGAGGAGCACCGGTAGTTTGAGTTTGGGTTCTCAATCAAAACAGATTTGCCAAATAAGTTTGTTAACCAAACAGTTATTCAAACTTTTTATTAATTTTTAAACTTTTAAATTATGTAATACAATTCCAAGCCTGGAGCCAAACCTTCAAAATCCAGAGAAGTGGTGACCCTACTTAGATATGCTACTAAACTAATTATATTATAACAATATAGAAACACATTTCTGTGTAACATTTTTATAGTAATAATATGGAAATACTAATACATTTGTGAGGACCCAAACGGGGTCCGAAAGCAGGCCATTAACGACTTTTTAAATGAGTCAAGTTTCGTAGTGCGAAAGAGCGAACTTAAAGATCGGATTTAAACAATGAACCTTTTGTCTTGTTAAAAGATTTTAAACAATAGATAGAGTAAAGTCGAGGAAAACGAGGTTGGAGAGGAGTCGTGTTCCGACGCGACGTTGACCTCTCCCGCGCCCTTCCTGGGGTTTCGAATTGTCACCATGTGATGAGGAGAGACCAATGGAGAGACGACCGTGGGGGAAAAATCGATAAAACCGCATTTTTGGGAACTTTACGGGGTCTTGGGTTTTGGTGTGTAGTGCTCACCTGTCGGGATTTGGTGCTCCCGACCGAGACGCAACGAAGGCTCTTCCGATGACCTAGGAACTGGTTTTGCCAACCCGTCCACTCTAGGATCGCCGAGGCCCGACTTGTCAACCGAGGACCTCACTACAAAGGCTGGTGCGTGCCCAGGGGCCATCGTTCTCTGCGTCCACAGTGCCGAAAGCTCCCTAGGGACCAATCGAACATTCGAACTGTCCGATTTTTAGGAACTGTGACAGAAACCCATCGTGGGATAGGCTCTTGCCCGCATTAGGTTGTTGTAAGAACGATTTATGTATATTATTAAATGGTTTTATATGGTAAACCTGTCTCGTTGAGTCATTCCGCGCCCACACGACAGAATTGACCGCTCGGCTGTCGAAAACACCTCACCCCTAATCGGCTGGCCTCACACATTGATGGTAAATCAAATATACTACAATAGTACTTCCAATGTAAATAAATTATACTTTTAAGTCTATTCCACTATTCTAGTCTATTCCTATTCAATGAGAAATAATTTCAAAAATATGTTTAGCAAAGGAGTGCAGAATGTTTCTCAAAAACTTTTCAGATGTAAAACAAGCTATTATTTATTGTGACATTGTTACAATGCTCTCAATTTTAGCAGTATTGCCCCTGTACAGCATACTTTTCCTGTTAAAAATAGTCATGCCAGTCATTTATATAACTCCATTCAAGAGAACATATTTGAATTGAAATAATGTGATTTCCAGTCCAAACCAGAAGTTTGTATATAGTTAATCAGGACCTTCTGCCCCTAAGCTTTCCATATCTGGTCTTAACTATCTATCTAACTCCATTCTTGAGATTAAGGAAGAAAGGGGACATGCAGATAGATGCCAGTGGGAATTTACAGATCTGCAATTTTTGAAAATTGCAACACAATATCTTTTAAATTTCAAACTTCATTTACTATTTTCACTTCTTCAAATAGATTATAAAGACTTGGAGAGGCTAATTTTTAGGGTAGAAACAGATAGCATTTTCCATTGATTCAACCATGGACTTGACTGTCATTTTGATTATAATCCTACGTAATCTAATGGGACAAAATGCCACGTCATTGCTATTCATTTACAGTTGACACAAGTTTAAAATACAAGTTTTTCTAATGTAAGGGGTACAATTCAGGAAAATGGGCTGCCAAGATATATGCAAGTCAAAGAGGTTGTGAACTGCGGGTATAAATTATTAAAACAATTGCTACAATACCTTATTTAATATCTTGGAAGATATTTATAACATTTGAATTTTTAAGAACAGATTAATTTCTAAAATATGTTGTAAAATTAATTACAAACCAAACCATAATTTAACTTCTACAAAAAAATATATTTTATTTATTTCATTTATTTATTTATTTTACATTTAATACATTTTAATAATATAAATTTCAAATATATATAGTATATATGGAATGATGTGGATTCCATAAACAATTTCATTTTAAACATAATAATAATAAATTGTTGAATTATAATTATTAATTACATATTGATAATATATTTGAAGTATACAAAATGAAACTAAAGTATTACAACTTTCATTAGCTGTAAAACCTGCTCCCATATATATTAATACTTTGATTTGGATTATGCCATTATAAAGCAAAAATGAAGTTTCTTACTATTCTCATTGTATCTACTGTATATTATGATTACAAAACACAATCAAAAATTATGTTTGATTTACAGGCAATGAGTTATACTTTGAATAAATAAACAGACATTTTAACAAAATAATTTATTATTTTCTTAATATCACACAGATACTTGAGATTGTTTTAACAACTATTTCTCAGGTTGAGTTTATCACAACTACATTGCTGCTTTATTCTTCAGATTAAACTCATTGCACATTGTTACATTTTGTAAAAGAAAAAGTGTCTAATCCACTTTGCCATTGAATAACACAGTAAGATCAGGATTAGGAATGTCATTGTAAAAAACACTATATTCCAATATACAGCATTTAGAAAGAAATTCAGTTTGAATGAAATATGTATTATGCATGGTAGGAATATATATATACAACTTAACTCTTAATAAAACTTCACAAATCTAGCACCATTATAATAAAATGTAGTTTTCAATAATTCAATAAATTTCTAGTGCTTTTAAAAGTTGTAAGGTAACTTTAAGTTCATTTTGTATTATTCTAATAATTTTATTGTTATAAACTTTATAAATGTAATATCAAAGTCTACAAATATATTAACAAATTACATTTTACAGTAGCATGCATAGCCAACCCAGTATAAATGCAATGCCTCCATATGGTGTAATTTTTGCTATTCCTTCATTTCCAGTAATACCAGTAATATAGCATGATCCACAAAATATTGAAATTCCAGTGAGAAAAAACAGTCCTACCTAAAAAAGTTATTGATACTTAACAACAAAAGAAAATCAAACATTTTATTCAACTATAAACTATTACTGTTATTGTTTCGTGTAAAATTAGAAATTCTGCAGAATATAGAAAATTTCTTTAACTACATGCTTAATCTGTAAGTGGTTTCAGTCTTGCTCATCTTCAGTCAAAACAAAACTTTTGATGAAATTCCACTGAATGCTACTTCTATTTCAAACATCTTGTCTACCTTAAATTCAAATCAGAACCTCTAGTTCTTGAGGTTTGAATGTGGATTAAATGTCAGGAAGCCATTAGAGAATTAAGAATTTGAAAGTTCTCATTTGAATTTAAAAAGATAGACAAAGCATTGAAAATCAGTGTTTTATCTAGGACACCTTGGGGAGTAGTTTTACCCTCTGAACATTAGAAATCCCACCAATGCAGTATAAGCAAGTATTCAAAATATATGCCCCATAAAATTAAACAAATTCATGTTCACAAGTACAGAAAAGTACACTTTTAGTAAGACACATAAGCAGTAAAAAGTTTATTGAAAACACACATATAGTTGCTTGCCAAACAATTCATATTTAAAGACATCTCGTAACAGGTCACATAGATAGGACTGAATGAATTTCAAGGTGGGTGAATAAGTGGAAAAGGAGATTTTAGGGCAAGCACTAGCCCACTTTTGCACAGTCCATGTTGTGGAATCTAGATAAAACAGTGGTTTGAAATAGCAGCAGCATTTGATGGAATTTGGAACATTGACAGTTTTGTTTTGATTCTGAATATGGATAAGATGCTCTTACAGTAGGTTATAAAATGTACAAAATTATGACTTCAGAAAAAGCAGATAGTTATTGTAATATATTATATTATTTTAAGAACTATAAAAAAAATTATCATTATAAAAATATGCTTAACCTGACATATTTTTATAATGATAATTTTATTTAATAGTTGTTAAAACAATCTCAAGTATCTGTGTGATATTAAGAAAACATATATTTATAATGATATTTTTATTTGCAATCCTGCTTATTCCAGACATTTAATTACAATGTCTTTGCCAATAACCATTCTTGGTTACTTTTAGCAAATTACTAATATATCAGGTTTTGGGATGTTTTTTATGAAGAGACCTTATGAAATACTTTTTATTAAATGATATAGTATAAAAAAAGTTTATAAAATGTTATTAAATATTATGTTATAATGTAATGTGTACAGGACTTATAAGTACTGTAGTTTAAAATTCTTATGACAAAATTTAAGTAAAACTAAAGATGCAGAAGTTTCTAGATATAAGAAATGAGTTTTAAAAATTGTTTACAAAACAAAAATTATAAATGAGAAAATGGAAAAATAGTTTAGCATATAAAATGCATTTTTCAATACAACTGCTCCATTTCAAAAATAGTTTGTTTAAGTAGCTCAAGACATTACAATAGAAATAAAAATTTGCTTCCTTAGTTAATAGTTTGTTTTTGTGTGATTAATATACAAAATTAAAATAATTTTTAAAATATAATAAAAGTATAACAAGCAATTTATCAAAAATTTTCATTCTCATAAATATTTTTTTATCCAGATAAGTAATTTTATTCAATTTAAATAAAATGTTCAATAATAACCTCTATATTTATTACTTACTACAGTAGGTTTATTTGTTAAAGGTATTCCTAATAATGCCAAAGCATGAACAAAATGATAAAAATTTCCAATTGCAAATACTTTTTTTCTTTCGTCTGAGATTTCTTTATTTGGATCAAGAACTGAAAAAGATAATTAATTTTACTAAAACTATGAAAAAGACAATTTAATTTAAGTTAAAATTTTAACAATAAATTTTTTGATTTATTTCTATATTTTAATAAAAAAAATAATACAGATTGATAAATAACAGTTTTAAAAACAATTACTTTTATTAATAAATGAAAATTGTCTCTAAGTAATCAAAATTTATTTCAATATTAATTTCTATTGGCTATAACTTGTACTGTTCTCAGAGGTACCTAAGGATGGGACACCGTCAACTGGGCAATGCCCAAGTGGGCTACCATTAACTGGGCACCAGACATCTTGGGCAACAAAATAAGAGATGAATAATAAATAAATTACAAAATTTTTTGTCTTTTTTATAAAAATCATCATTCTTTCTGTTGATCTACTATCTGGTAAATTTAAATAATATTTTTTAAGAAACGAGTTAAAAGAACATTTTGTAATTAACAAACATATTATTTATAGGCCTACATATTACATACTTTTATTTATTTATTTCCACATAAATAGAAAAGTCTTGAAGGATAGTACTTGATATTTACCTCCAAAATTAACAAATATAGGTAAAAACAAAGACAACAATTATGTACATTACATTAAACATTAAATACAATAAACAAAAATATAAAAATTGTCTATTGGCATTACTGGTAAATATGTTTAATTAAAGAGTACCAGCACTTTCAAAGGTATACAACCGTCTTTTTCAGGTAATATGACAGATGGAACATTATAAATCTAGGGCTATATAGCTAACACTACATCTGGAGCAAAATAGTGATATGCAGGTACATTTTTTGGATCTCACCATAAAACGTAATGAAAATAATAACATAAGAACATAATTTAAATCTATATACTAAATATTCATCAAAAGGATAGTAATACAGCAACTATAAATAAAATTTCACTCTAAACTTGATTTTGTTTAAATATTGAAACAAACTACATTCAATGAGATTTAGAAATCTAACAATACTCAGAAATCAGATTTCAAATATAGCCTACACTATATTACAATGTTTGATATATAACTATTAACTTTCTTTAAAATCCAATGTGCACGGACAAATTAAACATTTAGTTACCGTGATTTCCAAACGCGCCAAATACCACAGCCAAAGCACCTATTATTCCAGCTATCCGAACAAAATCATTTGAACGAATACGAAACTTATTTGATTGCTCATTATCATCTACAGAATAAGCTTTCATTTCGTCTTCTGTCAATCTTTTAAAGGAAACCATCTTTATTTTTAATCAGATTAAATTCTCAGCTTATACTGTACGTTACGTAAGTCTGTTTGCTGTTGAAATAGTGTACTTGTTTACACGCTGTTTCAAAAGCCAACGAACTGTTATCGTAACATAGGAAGCAGAAACCTATGACACGTGTGTTGCATTATGTTGTCAATAATATTTTTTACGACGTACGCGATCTTTCCATCACCGAACGGACAAAGTTTACATTTCACACCACACGACCACGTTGCCAACCTTACGGGATAAAATTATCGTAAATCCATCTCCACCCCTTACACTTAGGCCTACGCCCTTTATCCGTAGAAATATTAACTAGGTTCCCCTTATATTAGAATTTCTTAAACTTTTTATCTGCCATCCCTTCTTAAAACAAAAATTTTTAGACCCCATTTTACAATGTTTTTATATAGTGTAAAAAACCTCTGAATGGGTATAATATAACATCTACGTTTCTTCATACAGTTTCAACATATCAAGCATTAACAAATATGTAACACATTTTCGTATACCGTACTTATTTCATGTACATAAGCAGACGCGAATTTAGAGCGAGCGATATAGTTCTCGCAAAGGAAAACCATGCACAAGCGAGAAGCGAGAAATCTCGCTGGCGTGAGCGATTTTCTGGTTCTCGCACATATCTGACAGGGTTTGATATTTATCGCATCTCTCCTCTTCTCGCCACATATTCTCGCTCGCTCGCTCGCGTCTGCGTAGTCGCACCCTTACTTTTTCCAAATTTTTGTGACCCTCTAAAATTTTTAGTCTACTCTTCGAATGCTCTTGATCCCTAGTTTAGGAAAGTGTATCATAGAGTAAGTACATAGGGTAGTTTAGGAAATTTTTCCCTGAAAGATGTTATATAGATAATTGGCATGACTCTTTTCCTAACAGGAAAAGCATGATGTACAGGGGCAAGCCACTAATATTTTGAGGTGGAGAGCATATATTTTTAAAATTAAATAAATTAAAAATATGATCAAAAATTGCATCCCGGCATTGTGACCATGTCACAATAAATAATTGCTCGTTTTGATTTTTTTGAGAATTTATACAACGTATAAATTTGCAAAAAACAATCAAACCATTTTATTTATTACTGCATTAATTTATACGCTGTATAAATTGCAAAATACAGTATAAAAAATTATGTATAGATTTATCACGAATAATAGCAACATGTCATATTAATATACGTGGTAAATCTATTAAACATACATGTATATAGTATGTGTGCTATATATTGTCTCTCTCTGTTCTAAACTTTTTTGATCGCTCTGCACCAAATTTTTTATTTATGTTCTGGGACCTGAGGAAAAAAGACTTCCAAGAAATCTGGACACCGCTGTTCTCCCCTAACTTCATCCCTCTTATTAATTCCTAAACCTTTGCTCGATCTGCACCAAATTTTTTGTACTTATTCTCTGAAATCCCGAGGAAAATAGACGTCCACAAAATCTGGACATCCCACTCTTTTCCTCATTTATTTATTTTTTATTATTAACGTCATTAGCAAAACTAAAAAGCTATAATCAATAAAAAATCAACGAGTCCTTAAAGAGTCGACAGTCAAAAAGGTTTTGAGACTCTGTACCAACCCATTGGTTACGCGGAACTCGAGATTAACTTATGGTATTTAATGGTTTTACCCATTGATGAGCAATTTGCACAGATAAAAAATAAATTTTAACTTTTTGTTATGATAATTCACCATTACAAAGAAACTAAAAGATCTGTTTAATAGAGTCCAAAGCGGTTAAATAGTTAATTTATAACAATAATCATTTTGAAACCGTTCGAAAACTATGAAATGCAAATTTATTGTTTTATAGTATAAATTTTGTATAATCATATATAATTTTAAATACAGAAATGTGTGCAAATCGATGTCTTTCAATCATTTTGAAGAATCTTTTTCGTTTTCATTTTCTTCATCGTTTTCGATCGTTTCGGAAGATGATTTACACAAAGTATCTTGAACATTTTTAAAAATTTCATTAATCTCAGTCGAAACGGAAGTATTAGATACAGCAAAATCTTCAAATTCTGAAGAAGGAGATAAAATTCCAGGCATATATTCGCATTTGTTCAATATTGAGTGTCGCGAAGATTTATCATAATGTTCAAATACTTCTTGTACTGGTTTTTTATTGAAGGTCTGAAAGTGCCATTGGAGTCGTCTGTCAGCTCGAAGTTTCCAGTATTCTTCAATCTCATTCAGGTAATTCATCATTTCGAAAGCAAAACTTCTCGCTAAATCATTTCGTTTTAATTTCTCCATCAGTAAATTACTTTCTGTAATCTCTAGATCAGACCACTTTTCGATATTCTGGTCGATTCTTTTTGTATCTGTGCCATCTCCGAACCCGCCTTTAGGTTTTACAGATGGAGGTCGAGAGATCATGCATTTATGGTACCCAATAGGAAGCGACTTTGTGAGTTTCTGTTTGCAAAATTCTTTCTTCACGTTAATATCGAACCATTCCGACATTTCTGAAACGAATTCCTTCGAAATGTATTCGTCCAGTTTTTCAATTTTCTCACTATTTGTCTGATTATGAGAACCTTCCAAATCTGTCATATTATTATAGGGAAAGAGGGGTCTAGATGTGGTCACACTTGGTTTAAATTCTGTTTTTCTTTCCAAAATGGCATTCTGTTCTTTCTTCAAATCGACAGAAACTTTACGTGAAGACTTAAAATTGTAGAAACTACATAAACTGAAAAATTCAGAACTGTTAGCACTTTCAACCATTTCTGTCCATCGATCCGTTTTTACTTTTTCATCTTTCATTTTATCTGAAAATGCTGATTTGTTAATCAAGTACGAAAAGACATTTTTATTGTCCATTTTATTTAAAGCATTGATCGAAAATTTGGATTTATGATAATTATATTTTTTACGTTTGTTATGTTTTTTGAGTTTTTCTTTCAGTACTTGACTCTTAATCCCCATTCCTTGAATTCTTTTTTGCTCATCAGTCGTATGTATTAACTTTTTCTTTAGCGACAATAAGAAAATGTCTAACCATAAAGAATTGGATTTCCTTTTCTTCAAATTGGGATTAACATTTTCTTGATTATGATCCTTTGCTAAATTTTCTGAATTGTATTTTGATGTTCTAATAATAATTTGGACATCATCCTCAGTATCAGAGTCAGATTGATCCGATCGAATATCTTCACTTTCGAACCAGCTCATTCCGGAATTTCTCCTAATTTCGTGTCGATCGTCGCATTCTTTGAGAAGTTTGAAGATTTCTAATTGTTCTCGAAAAAATGGCAATTCGATATTATCCTCAACCTTGACATCATCTTTACTTCCGTTACTTTCCGTATATGCGCTTTCTGATTCTTTATCACTTTCATTTATCTTTTCATTAGTCACATCAGCAAAAGCGCTGATGGAAACTTCATCATCGCCAACATTTTTTTCATTCCGAGATCTACCCCTGTTTGTTCTCCGATTAAAATATCCGTTCTCTTCCAGTTCTTCTTGTTCTGAATATTCTCTCTTGACTACTTGTTCCTCAGAAGTCTGTAATGAAATTAGTATTTTAAACTTTACTTTTATATAAAAAAAAAGGATTAAATTAGTTGAAGTACAGTATTTACGAAAAAACTTGGAAAAGATCAAATATCTACTTCTATTTGTAGTGAAATAAGAGACACGGTTTCTTGTGAGCTGTTTATCAATTTAAACAATACCTATGTTAAATCGATGTTACTAACTTAAGAAAAAGGATTAGATTAATGATCCAAATTTCCTTGTTTCTCTTCCCGATTGGGTCTCTCTCCTGTCCAAGTGAAAACTGAGATCAGTTCGGGTCGCGAGAAAGGTTTGCTTTGGATGGTCTACTCGACATCATCCCTTTGACTCTGACCGGGAGATGTTGATAAAACCAAGAAACCTGCACTCGTATTTTAGCCCGCTGTTTCCTTTCTTCTCACACTTTAGAATTTTAACGATTTCGCGTGATGTCTCCTTGGCTGTCAAACGTTCCCCTTTTCCGATTCGATATTCTAACTTCGATTTAGCACATGTGCGAGTCACCTCAGGACTCCTCGTCGCGTTTGTTTGGATAACTACAGATTTTTTTCTCTCCTTACATAACTTTCGTTTCGTTTTTGCTTTAACAATTTCTGTATAATTAACGCAATTAACACGATTTCAAACTACGCATGAAACTTCATATATAGTTGCTTGAAATCCGATGATTCATTTGTAATAAACCTGTATATTGATTTTTTTTTACTTCTAACCATAAAGACAAGGACCACAAGAACAGAAATCTTGCTAAAATATGCTTTGGCTCATCAATATAATCAACTGGATTGTTGATTATATTGATGATGACAGTTAATTCTTATATTTTGTCACAAATAGATTGACATTATAAAAATATTTGCTTAGCATACATTTAATTAAGTAGCTTATGATTCTTTTACTAATAAAGTGTCGGATCCTACGGACAGAATTTACCTGAGTTTTATCTATACTCTTTTGACGCCAGAAAATTCTGGTTCGGTTACATCTGGGAGTCTTTTGTCTTCTATAATTCATTCTTTGCATATTTCTGAACCTAGGAGGACGGTTTATCCAAGATGAACAAGTGGGACCATTCATCTATTAAAAAAAGTATATTTACATCCATATAAAATTAAATAGGTATATAAAGTTTAATATTTTCAACAGTTGATGGTAAAGATGAAGAAATAAAATTGTGTTGATTCTTGCTTACCAAGTCTCGTGTTGAAACGGCAAATTCTGCATGTTGAAAAGTATAAGAACTAGGAGGAAAGAAGGGTGGTACAAAGTAAGCCATATAATTATCCATAAATGAAATATAGTTATAAGTTGGATCTGTGGCAACGAATCCAGATATATAGTCATCCGCGGATTGAAAATTAACAGGATTAGGCCTACGTTGTCTCCTGGTATCATTGAAAGAAAGTATTTATTTTGTATGTAAGATTATAAAATGATGAAATTTGAAAACTTATTGTAATTTAAAAGACTAAACTGTTAAATTCAGAAACCAAAATTTTACTTTACTTATGGACCAAAGAAAAAAAATTGAATAATGAATTATTTTGGTTTTTTGGAATTAAGCACAAATTTGCTACGGAGAATAATTTTGGTTTATTATACGTAGCTATATGTCTTTCTTAAAAAACTATAAGATCATAATTTAACATATTTCTATTGTTACCTGTATACTGAACCACGTTTATAAAATTGCCGATTACGACGCAATTCCATGATTTCTTTTTATAATAAAACGGTAAAATATATGTAAATTTTTACGTGAATTATCAGAAAATGTGTAAAATAACAATACGATGAAATCTAATAATTCGTAAGAAATCGTTTTGTTTCGAACTCTTTGCTAATTTTAAATTTAAAAAATAATCTTGTGCATTTTGGTTCTATTCGCGAGATTCGAGAAGCGATTTACTTAATTATTTTTCGATTATAAAATTTTAGTTTTAATAAATTTATTTTTTTAAATTTTAATAGTTTTAGACATAAAAGTTATTACAAATGATTCCGTCCACCAGTAGCGCAGTGGATAAAATCTTTCCTATCAATCCAAAACCATTAATTTAAAATATTTTCATTTTTTGTAAAGAAATTAGCGCACCAACCACCGCGTGATTTAGTTGTCACTCTTAAAAAGTTATATGCCAATCATTCAACATTTTTTTCTTCAAACCTAAATAACCCTTTGAAATAACTGATTTGAGAAAAAGAACGAAGTTTTTAATACTTAACCTTCCTTAGGTTAACTACTTCAACCATAGTTAAACATTAACAGAAAATAAACCTACATAAAAAGCAACAACAAACCACACTTCTGTTGAGTTTACATCTAATTAGATGCATGTATTTTGAAAGATTTACTTATAATTCAAAGAAATTCTTACTTTTATTCATATGGAAGACTTATTACTAAAGCAAAACCTTCTTTCAAAGGCATTTGCTTCATACAAGTACTGTACAGTCAAATATATCTATAACGGAATATGTAATATAACGAGAAAACCTGTTATTAACGGAAAATTTCTTCGGTCTCTTGAATTCTTTTGCAAAATTAATGTAAATAAAAATAAAAATATTTATTAATCGAAACTTTGTTCTAGCGGGTGGTGATTGTTCGGTCGAGTACCGAGGTACCGCTATATTTGATTAATTAACGCCATTATAATATACGAGATACACACATCGAGAAATTTATTAATCGCATTAATCAAGTATACCTGTAGCAGGTAACGTGTATATAGCGGAAACTTGTCTACTACGGAAGAGAGTTGTTCGGTCCCTTGGAGTTCCGTTATAGACATGTTTGACTATATAAGGTATTTCGCTTCTGTTTTTATTCATACGCCTAAATTTTCTTTAAATTTTGCAAGAACAAGGCAAATGCTTGTTTTTATTCGTATGGCTCAATATCTCTATCCGACTGGTTGGGCAGTTTAATATGCTTAAGGAACTAGCACGCAAACTTCACTTGTCTTACAATTAACACATTTCCCATTTTTCTTATTGCTTTCTTTATTCGGTTTATTAAATTTTACTCAAGTCAATCTCCCGCAACCAAATTAAAAAAAATTATCACATTTAGATCATTTAATTGACTCTTGAGAATGAGACATTTTCAAAGAGCCGAACTCACAAACGGGTGACGCCATCATAGATCAGCCCTTGTAATCCGAAATATTTTCATTCTCGCTACTTCGCGTTTTTTTCCCCTCTTTCATTCTGTCTATGAGTACTAATAGACTTATTTCGAACCCACTGAGCGCTAGGACAGAATGTATATAACAGAATGGTTGGGGACAGGTATCCCATACATCCGGAAAGGACCGCCAATGAAAAATTCCTTGTGTGCATATACATTTGGACAACTGATCCAAATCCTGTATACAAACGAACTATAGCAATCTGATCAATCTCTTTCCGCTTATACAAACGCTATCTAGGATCAACTGAATCGCGATCAAACTAATCCGAGCGGATGGTAGGATCGTTTGAATCGGATAAAACAGACTAAAGATGGCGACCTCCGTGGTTAAAGTTAAGCTGAAAGTTGGCAGCAAAGAAATATGTTTAACTGTCGACAATGAAAAGTATTTAAAACTTAAAATAAATGGTAGTAAAAACATTGTTAAAATATCCGATAAACTGAGATTAAAAAAAAGAGTAGTAAGAGACAGTTTTGCGAAATTGTACGTTAAGTATGAATGGCTGCATTCTCCCATCTTGCCATTATGTAAGCAGTTTTATTCCCGGAGTAAATGCGATTCGATTCTACTTGTATACTTTTCGCCAACTAACACACGATAGAAGCGACCTATTTCACGCGACAAAGATTGATCCGATCTGTAAGATCGATCCGTCTGAAACTAAAAGTGCATCCCTGGAGTTGTTTCTTCCCGGATTTGATCCTGGTCCCCAAAGCGGTAAGCTGAACAGTAACCAGATCAGCCATCTAGCTGTCTCATCATCATCATCAAGAGAAATAAATAATATTCCCAAGTTTTGTCATACTTTTATTTTCATTTGGTGTATTTTCATACGGTGTTTGGAATTTGTTACTCCGAAAGTTGGCAACCTATTGGGGACCTGGAATCGAATCCCAGCGGTCGACAAACCCGAAGAATTTTTCATGAGCGATTTGTTTTAGATACGGCATCAATATCCGTTATAACCCCCTTGACAAAGTTTGATCCTTATTACAGTCCACCCGAGAGCATAAACCTTCCGATAAGTCTTCCCATTAGCATAAAATCCTCCATTTAGCCGAAGTTACGCGCAACACTTGCATTTCAAAACTTTTTAAAAGTTCAATATTTTAAGTGCTTATATTATTTTATATTTATTATCGTTTATAATTCTGTCAATTTAATTATAAATAACAAGTTAATCGAGTAACTTTTAAAACAAATATAGTGTAATTCATTCAACATAAATAAGTAATAACAAGAGAAAATATTTGCAATTTCGACGATTCAATAAAATATTTCGTAAAATATTTTATGATAATGTATTTCGTAGGAAATATTTCCTAAAAATTATTAAAAATTAAATTTAATACCATGTAGAGGCAGAGGATAAGAATTAAAAATCAGGACCACGCCTCTAGATGGCAGATAAATAACATCGAATCACACTGTGCTTATCATGTAGTATTGTGTGATGCTTTGTACTGACCCTTTAATACTTTAATTTTTTTTACAGAAATGAATCGACTACTCAATTATAATAGATGGAATGTGAAAAATCTTATAGAAGTACGCTTATATTTGCTAATTATTTTGTAGTACTAATTATGTGTATTAATTTTATTTTGTGGTATAGATTTTATCTCTGCCATAGGCCATTATATACAGTAAACATTTTTAAATCATCCTAATATGAGCAAAAACCAAAGGAATCAAAAGGGTGATGATGATTCTATGCCAATGCTATTGGGTTTGTCCCTTCTAGTTAGACTAGGGGTCCCCAAACTTTTTATCTCGTCGACCCCTTTATAGAATATTTGCCTTCTTATCGACCCCCAGATTAAGTATTTGACAAAAACTTTAAATCATTTTTGCATTTCTAATGTTAAGCGATAAGGAGACCTGCATAACAACCCTACAAAAGAATTTATAGTTCCCATATTTTATAAAATCTACCCAATAACATTAACAGAAAAAGATATTTTTCACTGATTTATAATCTTAAAAAATAATAGCAAAATTATGGATAGATGGAAATTTGCCTATAGTTCTTAAACCGTACATGTCATAATATGTAAAATACACACTTATTTTTGAAAACATAACATTAGTTATATTGGATGAAAAAACCTCTTACTGTCATTTTTTGTGACTAGTACTGATTGCCTTAAAAATATGTAGACATACCTTTTTATTAAAATAGTTGATATTAGTGGGATGGATGTCTCTGAAGAGAAGCAGCAAGATTATTGATATTCGGTTGAAAATTGGTAAGTTTTAGTCGCAAATCGCCACGGTTTTCCAAGTTCAATCTGTTCCTCTGTCTTGTCAAAATTGTGTTAGCTTGGCTAAAACCAACTTCAACCACGTATGAAGTTGGGAATGCAAGTAAGAAAGGTTCGGCTTCTGCTCTGAGCTTGGGATATTTAGTGGCAATATTGTTATTGCTCCAAAATTCACTGGTGTTTTTATTTTTAAACAACGCTTTAGCTTCGAGATCTACACCTATTTCACTCAATTCCTCTTCTAAGCCAGTTTCACTACCTTCATTATCTATTTTTACATCAAATGGATTAGCAAACCATTCGGGAACATGCATATTCTCCAAGTCTTCGAAACGTGCTTTAAAGTCATCTCTTAATTTAACAAGATGTTTAATATATAATCTCCAAATCACGGTTGGAAATCTTTTCATTTTCTTTTAGTACTCGCAAGTTTGAAAAATATTTAAAATCGGATCGTGCCAGTGAAGATTTAAATAGCTCCATTTTTACTTGAAAGGCCATTTTTTCTTGCAAATGCTTCTGCACTATATTAATGATTTTTGATATATTACGATATTTTCTCTGTAAAGGACAAAATATCTACATTTAGATATAAAATACTTAGAGTGACAACCCTACTAGAGTGTAACAGTGCAACGTATGTCTGTGTATAATGAACTACCAGCGTTCATAACATGTTTGCAACACTAGTACAGTTGCCAGATGCGCTAAAACAGTAACATATGCTTAAAGCGCGTAGGCTAAGGCAAAACTCAAGTTATAACTAGGGTAGTCAGTAATGTTGTTTATCATATTTGTGTTTTGAATTTTTATTGGAATATTCTATTTTTTTCCTAGACAATTTAATTGATCTTCTTTGGTATTAATCAACTCCCTTTCGACCCTCGTGTAATCAACCCCTGGAGAACTCTTATTGACCACTTTGGGGATCCCTAAGTTAGACAGACCAACCCAATAGTAATTTTGAGAATGTTTAGAGAAATTTTATTATTCTGTGTGTTATAAATAATCTAGCTTTGTTAGTGTATATGTACTATATTTTGGTAATACACTTTATATTGTGTAAGTATTTAGGTCTGTGTTTACTCTACATTCTTGGGTATTAAGAGCAGTGGCACACTCTGGATTTAATCTTGGGGGAACGGAGTTAAACGGATAAAAAAAACTTTTTGATGTGAATTTGATTAAATTCCTACCTTACGTGATCATTTATGCATAAGTAGTATAAAAGTAGATGATGCGACTCAATATAAATAAATAAATAAAAAATATATTAATTAGAAAAAGAATTTTGCAAAAATTTTTAGTGCTTCTTTCCGTTTTTCTTTGGAGGGTGCCTTGGCCCCTCGAAAGAAATTTGCGTGTGGATGACAAATCCCCCTGTTAAGAACCAAGTGTGCATCTGAGAATGTGAGGACCCTAAATGACTAGAAATGAGCCGTGTTCCTGGCAACTAATTTGCATAAAATTTCCAGGAACCAACACCCTTAGAATCTGCGCATGTCTGTGGGTGTCCAAACTCTACTAAAATCTGCCTAAGTTACCTCAAAGGTCAAAGGTTGATCGTAGAATACTAGGGAGGAAAAGCCATGTTTTCCAACACCTAATTTGCATAATTTTACAGGGGACAAACTCCTTTATGATGCACATGTGTCCCTAACTGTCTAAATTCTATCGAAACACCCAAAATCATATTGGGTCAAAGGTCAATTGCCTATATTATATCGAGAATGAGTTATCTTCTAATTTGCATAATATCACGCTATACCACATGTGGACCCTCTGGGTGTGCCACTGATTTAAGGCCTTTTAATCAAGCTGATCATGGGTTTGGCAGGCCTACAATGGAAAAGCTGAATGTGAAGGATGGGTCTAATACATTTGGGACATACTATCCTCTTGAAAAATTTTTGGGATTTTTCAATCTCTAATTCAATTGTGTCTTCACAGTGGTAAGCTGATACCTTTAACCATGTTGACCTTCCAATCATATATAGTATTCTAGCTTGTAAAGAGGAAAAGATAAAATTTTAAATGTCTTCTGATAGTCTTTAAATTTTTTTTCTTTGAATTTCTGATTTTACAATCATTTAGTATTGCAAGAGGTAAGTTTTGGAAGGTAATCATATTATATGAAGGATTGCTCTGATTTGTGATTTCTTTTGGTTTTTCTACCTGTATAAAAATGATATGTAATCTTTCCAATGCACTGATATTCTCTGGTAGTGCAAAATCTTATCACATATATATAAAATTTTTTTGACAAAATTATAATTGTTAGTATTACATAAAATAGTGTATATTGAACAATGTATGAGTGAAAGTTTTAACTTTATCTTTGTGTTGTATGATTTATATTAATGTAACCTAGTTAATCATGTTAATAAATACCTTAAACTAGGATTGATTGAATTTCTGTTAAGCTTCTAATAAATTATGAAATATTTTTTCTAATTGATGGTATAGAAATATTGTGCATTCACTATGATTTGTTTGTTGTTTATAGTAAATTCTACAATTTTTTCTACTTATTCCTGTTAGTAATCAGTATATAAAAGGAAGGACAAATGGAAAAAAATTATAAAAAGTGTCAACTAAAATGTGATCATATGCATAGTGTCTTGTCATTTAACTGAAAGGAAAATGGCATGACTTGATAATTTTGAATTGTAATTTAATATATCACTATTTAATATGAATTTTTAATTCATAACAAAACTAAATTTTGTTATATAAAATCTAGCGAGTCTTCAATTTTTTTTTAACCCAGTGTTACTTTTAAATGAAAAGTTAAAAATTTTGCAGATAGAATTGTTTCAGATGTGATGCTATTTTTCATAATTTTTCAAATTATCTGTTCTAAAGTTTCTTATTCTCCTTCCGTATATTTCAAATAAGTATGATATAATTCCTTATGGTATTTTTTATACTTTAATTTTTATATTGATTTTTTAATTATTAATAAATTTTATTTCTTGAACCGCACAAATAGAAGCAAATTGCACTGATATATATATATTTTTTTTAAATTTAAAATTAGCAAAGAGTTTGATACAAAATGACCTTTTATGAATTATTAGACTTCATATTATTGTTGTTACTCTTTAGTTTCAAGTCAAATATTTATAATTCATAAGTGAAAGGAATAAATCAATATAAAGTAAATATGTAGAATTTTAAATTCTTGTTAGATGCCAGAGGAAAATTGCTTAAAAAATGAAAGAAAAAAAATGTTGGAAGTGAGCTTACTGAACCTTCAATTGATGATCAGAAGTTTAAAAACTACATGAACCTAGACATAAAATTTGAAAATCAAATTAAATCATTAATATAGAAAAATATACAAAAACAATTATGTAAAATTATTATTTCAGAATTTTAGGTGAAAATTCTAGAACTATTGGACCAAATTTTGATATGAAAAATATAATCTTAAACTGTCTAAAAAAATTAAAAAATAAGAAATAAAAAATAGCTTGAAATTTGTATAAAACTTATTGTGTTTTATTTATTTACAAATATTTAGAAATATATATTTGATGAAAGATGCACATGCATAAACTGTTGAAATATACATGATGTGGCCAGAAAATAATGAGACTGTGATTGCCTGTACTCAATGTCTGCACATGGGCCTAAGTGAGTGGGTAACAACCTTGAACAAATTAGAACAAGCACCGCGACTCTCAACTTGTTACTGCTATTAGATTGCTGCGAGTGACTGTGTTGTTAGCAAGTGTTGGAAAAATGGCCAGCTTGAAAGAGGAGCAGCGTATCAACCTGAAATTTTTGGTGAAATTGAAAAAACTGCCACTGAATCTTTGCACCTGCTATGTGAAGCATACAGAGATGCATGTTTTTGTCTTGCATGAGTTCAAATGGCACAGAAGATTTTGAGGGCCAAGAGGATGTGAAAGACGATGAATGTTGTGGACAGCCTAGCATATCAAAAACTGAGGAAAACGTACGAAAAGCATAACAAATTGTGAACCAATACTATTACAAAGAAGTTCTGGAATCTTTGTGGGAATGGATCAGAAGAAAGTGACAACACTTGTGGCAAAATGGTTTTATCCTTTATCATCCAGCCCATTCTGCTCTGTTAGTGAAGCAGTTTTTGGCCAAGAAGGGAGTCACACTACTTGAACACTCACCATACTTGCTTGACCATCCATGTGACTTTTACTTTTTCCCTAAAGTCAAGTCTGCTCTGAAGGGACACCATTTTGATTTGGTTTCTGCTGTCAAGGAAAAACATCAGAGCTTCTGCATAGCCTTACAAATGATAACCTGCAGCATTGTTATGATTAGTGGAAGTTGCAAATGCTGTGCTGTGTGGAAGCAGAAGCATCATATATTGAAGGGGAACACAACTAAAGTGAGTATAATACTCAAGATTTAAAGTTTCAGCTTCAGTCTTGTCATTTTCTAGCCACACCTCATACATTTAGTTGAAAATATAACTTTGCTAAAAATTTTTGCTTGTTTTAGCACGTTTTAAAAGTAAGAATTATACAAATTTTTAAGTGCTGACAAAGTAATAAAGCATGATAATTTTTCAAACTTTATTTCTTTACTAGCTTACCCGTCGCGCATTGCTGCGATCTCAGAAGAAAGGAAATTCAAGCAAACTCGTTATGATAAAATTCAATTTACATTTTATCATTTTTATTGAAACTTATTATTATTATTCATTTTCATCGGGAAAACATTTCAAAGTGTCGTTTCAATTCTATTTATTTATTGGAGTGTTTGTGGATACACGATATTTTTTGTTTTTCCGTCTGGTGCGTACACGAATAAATCGGAAGGTTTTCCGACGCGTGAGCCGGCCACATACAGTTGTCCATGCGAGAAGCACGGATTCTCCAAATTTAGCCCATACACTCGCAGCGATTGTCAGAAGTGCGATATTCCCCATTTTTATATATATATTTTTTAATCCTTTATAATTTTAATTATTTAATTGCTCCTTCCTCTCTTCCTTGGCATGTTGTGAAATTTCTGATAGTTGGATAATAAACCGTTTTATTGTAATTTGTCTTTTTAAATTATTTTGAGTCGATATTAAAATTTGGAAAAGGGGGGATACCTAGATCGGTAAAATACGCGAATTTCTTCCTACAACTTCGGTTGTTGTTCGGGGTACAGTTAAGGTTTTAACGAAGTTCGAGCGAATACATAATTAGCAAAAAAAAGTTGAAATAAAGTGATTAAACAAAAATTATTATAAATATCGTAAATAACAGTTCACAAATGCATATATAGAGATATTTTTAGAAGGGGGAAATGGTCTTCGCAATTTGAAATTGATCGAACACACTGTGCGCGAATGCTCGTGTAAATGCGCGCCATCTATCGTAGGATAAATGTACTTCGCGGGAGTGTATTAAAAAATTAAAAAAACTTTCCAAAGCTTTATGGCAATCGTACTATGCCACAAACCTTCCCTGGAGTATATTAAACAACTTCCCAAAGTTTCACGGCAATCGGATAAACGGTGTGGTAATGCATGAAGGACGTAGGACAGACACACAGACATACATTCATTTTTATATATATAGAAAACATTTTAAATGTGTCAAAATATGTTATTCAACTTTAAACTTTGTATATATCAAATTCACGTGGCTGATTGACTTCATTCAAATTTCTCGAACAGGATTTCCACGCATGTGCCACTGTCTCGCAGTCTTTAAAGTTAATACAGTTGCCTTTCAAGTTAGCTTTATAAATTTCCAAGGCTTCCAGGTGACGAATATGGTCTGTTTGAAAGGCCTGCCTAATTAATCTGGTGTTCTGGAGGTCCGCATGTACTTCTGGGTTGGTGGCGTATGTGGACAAGGCAGTGGTACGCCTGTTGTTCGCAAGTTCTAATTAGATGTTCACATATCCTTTTGCAAATTAAACGTATAGTTGAGCTGATATAAACTAGGTCCCTTTGGAATCTTTCATCCCTAAGAGGAATAGAGCATACTCATGGGGCTCTGCTTTGATCTAATTTATCTTTTGCATTGCATAGCAGCTTGTATATAAATATTTTAATAGTAATATTAAGCAATATTACATTGCTTAATATTAATGTAAGAATAATGCCATTGTTATCTTAGAGATTTTTAACTTCTGTTTTTACAACAGAACATGGGTGCTCTTGAAGATGAATATTAGATATCAAAAATATTGGAGCATCCAAATTTTTGTTCAATTTTATTATTATTTTTTGTTTTTTTGATATTCTGTTAGTGTAAACATTTCTGTTGAAATCAGACAGTAACAAAATAGACAAATACTTAGTACTGTAATTCATTGTAACATTGTAATATTAAGAATTTTTACAAAGATTACTTAGATATCTATTTTTATATGAACTATATATCTAGCTGTACTTATTCTTTTTCTTGTTTTGCAGAGCTATACACCATGTATGTTTACCAATTACAAGAAATTGTAAGTCATGGTTTTATTATTTTGAAAAAATTATTTGGTATATTATGATAATTAAGTCAACAATATTAAAAAATAATGGTAGTTAATGAATTATAACTATGTATAATTATTAATTTTAATTAATAAATACATTAGTATAAAAAACATATATACTAGATGTAGATATAAATTGAAATACAAATTCAATTTATAACAATCAGTTCTTTGATAAAAATCTAGGTTGTTTAAATTATAGGTTTATAAATAGTTTATGAAAAGAATATGAAAAGAATTTTTAAATGAGATCTAATGAAAATCTACAACATTTAGCTTTATAACTTGTTTATCAAATTTTATAAACAGCTTAAGTTTAGTTGGAGGAAACTTGATTACCCTAATTTTTTAGACTAATCAAATTTTCCCAGCTATGTTAAGTTGTTTACAAAATTTGGTAATTAAGTTCTAGGATGATATGAATTGAAAAGAATCTACCTACATATTTAAATATAAAAAACTTAAGAATAAGAATGTCTTTGACAATTTAGCTGGCAAAAGAGACAGAAAATTGTCGATTCTTTCATATTTGAAGCAATTTGGAAATCAAAGTGGAATAGAATTTAACATTAGTAAATAATATAAAAATAAATATTGAAAATTATAACAAGATAGTTACGGCTAATAGATATATTTAAATTAATAGATGTTATATATTATATCAAAGCAAGAATCGGCATTTAGAGGGCATAGGGAATCTGTTGAATCTAATAACGGAGGTAATTATATTGAAATTTATTAATAACTATTTATTAATTACGTCAGATAAATAATCTATTAAAAATACATTTAAAGAATTAACTTATTGCCCCTGGAAGTAGGCTTCTTACAGAAACACAGCTTCCCTATAATCAAATGTCATGGCACGCCACTGCTGGAGCGGGATTCTGGAAGTGGGAGCCTGTTCTTCCAGACTGTTCCAAATTATTTAATAAATTATTAAATTATTATAATTATTAATTTAAATAAGAGATGATGCCTAACATCTACCTCTAATACCAAATTATGTAATTGTTAATAATAGTAAAATAATAACCAGATTAATTATGCTGATCATTTGGTTTAGTATCAATGCATCAGGCTTTGGGATGTTTATTATATTTAGAAGTCTTTATATATAACAATGCTTGAATCATGTAATGAGCCTACACTTTACTCTGAATTAAGAGTGCCACTTTTTAAAATGTTAAAATCATAATTTATATATTTAACAACTTTGTGTATTCTGCAGTTAAAAGCAATTGGCTGTAATTTTTATATGGTTACTATTAGCAACCATCTGAGCATAGTGTTTTATGTTGCTTTTTATGTATTTAAACATAATTTACTTGTTTATGTCATATTGTTCCCATTTGCATTTGATCTAAAAATTTTATAAATTTATTTGAAAATCATTAAGTTCAAATTTCATCCAAAAACTCCTGTTTAGAATATGTTGGCATATCCATTTAAATTTTGTTAATATTCTAAATATATTTTGTTCTGCCTGAAGATGACATTTATGCAATGTTGAAAGTACTTGTTTGCATATTTTTGTTTGAGTTAAATTAATGCCAAAATACTTTGTGTTTTTTATTACTTGTACAAATTTGGTGTTGAGTGTGAATATCATTTTAATTAACTTATAATTACCACATTAGAAAGATTTTATTGGGTTTTAAGACATCTATCTCTTAACATAAAATTATTTGAAAGAAAAGGATGAAATTAGATTTTTGGTGAATCTAAGTCATTTCAAGCAAAATCTTATTTAGATTATTTCTGTATTATGTCTTGTCAATTTCATAACATACTAGCTTACCCATCGCACATTGCTGCGATCTCAGAAGAAAGAAAATTCAAGCAAACTCGTTATGATAAAATTCAATTTACATTTTATCATTTTTATTGAAACTTTTTAATATTATTATTCATTTTCATCGGGAAAACATTGTCGTTTCAATTTTATTTATTTATTGGAGTGCTTGTGGATACACGATATTTTTTTGTTTTTCTGTCACGTACACGAATAAATCAGAAGGTTTTCCGACGTGTGAGCTGGCCACATATAGTTGTCCATGTGAAAAGCACAGATTCTCCAAATTTAGCCCACGCACTTGCAGTGATTGTCAGAAGTGTGATATTCCCCATTTTTATATATTTTTTTAATCCTTTATAATTTTAATTATTTAATTGCTCCTTCCTCTCTTCCTTGGCATGTTGTGAAATTTCTGATAGTTGGATAATAAACCGTTTTATTGTAATTTGTCTTTTTAAATTATTTTGAGTCGATATTAAAATTTGGAAAAGGGGAATCCCTAGATCAGTAAAATAGGCAAATTTCCTCCTACAACTTCAGTTGTTGTTCGGGATACAGTTAAGGTTTTAACAAAGTTCGAACAAATACATAATTAGCAGAAAAAAAGTTGAAATAAAGTGATTAAACAAAAATGTATACAAATATCGTAAATAACAGTTCACAAATGCATATATAGAGATATTTTTTGGAGGGGGGAAATTGTCTTCACAATTTAAAATCGATCAAACACACAGTGAAATGCTCGTATACACTTGCGCCATCTATTGTAGGATAAATGTACTATGCCAGAAACCTTTGCGGGAGTATATTAAACAACTTCCCAAAGTTTCATGGCAATTGGATAAATGATGTGGTAATGCATGAAGGACAGACACAAAGACATATATTCATTTTTATATATATAGATGCACATGCCCTAAGAGAGTACCTGTCAGACTTGACTTTTCAAAAGGAAGTGCCATATTTTTCCTATTTCATTTCTGCTATAAGTTTCTTTTTTTTTTTTTTTTTTTTTTTATCAGTTGAATCTTGATGATTAATCCTTATTGTTATATTGTCTGTAACTAGATATACTGTTACAATGTCAAATTGTCTGGTATCTGGGGAGCCTTACAACATGAACAATTGACATTTTTAGTATTTTGCTTTTGAATTCTTTAAGTTGTCAGTCTATTGGAGCTTATATTTAGTTTTGTTTTCAGGTAAGATAATTAATTAATTCATGGATTCTGGTTACTCATAACTATTTTTATCAGTTTATAAACTTTAACATCAGTTTCAAAAAATAAAACAAATCTTTGAAGTATAACTGATATATGAAGAAAATTATAGGAAAAAATTAATATAATATGGAAAATTGATCTGAAATTTTTTGCAATAGAATTATATCTCTAACTTAAGTTTCTCTTATGCTATACTTTTTTTCTCTGTTGTTTGCAAATTATTTCAGTATTTTATCTTTGTTATTACAAGAATAAAGTACTGAAATAATAATAATTGCACATCACAAACTTAAATTCATCAATTAAGAAATTTTTATTATATTTTTTAACCTAGAAGTGGTAAAAACTTCTTGTTTTTTTTATTTAAATAAATTTTAAATATGAACTTAACTAAAGTACAGTGGAACCTCACTTAAAGAGCATAATTTATTTCAGAATATTACTCGTAATGCGAAACACTTGTTAAGTGAAACAGTTTTTCCCATATAAATTAATGTAAAATATGATAATGCGTTCCATGCCCAAAAAAATACTCAAATATTTTATGTATAACGTTTATTCAAAGAAAATTACACAATATACATTGTTAAGAAGCATGAATCATCATCATCATCATCTTTTCTTCTAGCACAGAATGAACCAACCTGAAATGCGAATTCGATTTGCAGAAAACAAAAATCACAGATAATATGTCTGATAAACATGCCAAACAATATGCCAAATTCTTGGGCTATGTAAAGGCTATAATTAAATATTAGAAATTAACTAATTTGACTAGAGGTAGGCAGTTATGCTGCCTTCTCGTATTAAATTTAATGACCAATTCCAAATTAAATTTTAAAAATGCCTAAATTAAAAATTAATTATTTATAATTATTAAATTTAATACGAGATAGCAGCATAACTGCCTACCTCTAGTCAAATTAATCAGTTTCTAATATTTAATTATAGCCTTTACATAGCCCAAGAATTTGGCATATCGTTTGGTGTGTTTATTATATAACGGTCTATGATTGTTGATGTTTATACATAATGTGTGAACACAAGTTTGCAAAAATGTGTGATCACGAGTGACACTAAGATGTTAGTGGTACAAGTGCTAAACACAGACTGATGGAGCATATGCACAATCCAGGATTTCCCCTCTCCTTGTCATCTGTTATGTGAAACATCGCTTGTTAAGCGAGGCATTTTTTTTACAATTTGTTTTGCTCATTATGCAAGGTGCTCATTAAGCAAGGTTCCACTGTGTATAACTTTATTTTATTAACATGTTTTTATTTATTTTTAGTTCATCACATAATGAGCAGAACTATCAATTTTTACAACAAAGCATTGTTCCTACAATGCATTTTCAAGCTAGTCTTCCACGTTTACCAATTCCAGAATTAGAAAAAACATGTGAAAGATACTTAAATGCTGTTAAACCTATTACAAGTGAAGAAGAATTTAAAAGAACACAAGGGATTGTTGAATCATTTAAAAATAATATTGGAAAAGGTTAGTATTAAGCTTAATTATAATATATGGCAATGGTTCTCAATCCATGGTGTGCGGAACACAGGTGCTCCGTGAAGCCATTTCAAGTGTTCTGCAAAAAAATGAATTATACCATAAATTGTTGCGAAAGAAAAATCAATATAATGTAAAATAATTTTTGTATGGGATTGTAGTCAGCAAACTCCAATGACATCATATACTAGATCGAGTGGTATAGAAAATGTACGACCAGTAAAGAGACTGTGTTTGTACATTCGCGTATTGGTCTGTCTGGGAAGTTCACATTTGAGCAGTCAATGTGGTTTATTTTGCTGATTTCCAGTAACTGTAATGATTTGATGTTTTTAATCAAATAAATTTATGTAAGTTTTGCATCATATTATCAATTAATTTTATATTTTTCATAAATATTTTTTATTAAACGTAATGGATAATTTCATTGTAAAGAAATCTTGTCTTGATATCAATGATGACAGTACCACTTCTAGCACTAGTAGAATTAAATATGATGCAGAAGAAATAAAAATTGTGAAATCAATTCAAAATGTCAAGTGCTTATATAACGAAGAATACTTAAAATCTCCTCTCTGTGTTGTATATGGAAAGAAACTTACAAATAGCACGATGGTGCCTGCTAAATTAAAGTGTTATTTTTCAACTGAACATAAAGATCTTTCATCAAAAAAATAAAGAATTTAATAAGTGTATAAATACAAAACGACATATTTACAAAGGTAAAAAACCTTGCTTCTGTCTATCCTTCCACCATTTCTACATCATCAGCAATCCTTAAGAACAATTTACAAAAGTTTTTGAGACGACCTTCCTTTTTAGGCTACTGTTTTGGCAAAAAAATGTAAATATAGGTAAAGCATCCTCTGGTGTTTATTAGCCATTTTTCACAATATCACATTTTAAGTAAAAATAGTAAAAATAAACTTGTGAATTGTTTTTTAAGGATTTAAGGATTTTAAGGATTGGTGTAGAGATGGCGGAAGGATAGACAGAAGCAAGGTTTTTTTACTTTTGTGAATATGTTGTTTTGTATTTATACACTTATTAAATGTAATTAACACGACCATAGTTTATTTTTACTATTTTTACTTAAAATAAAGAATATTTCAAGAGGCTTTTGGAATTGCAAGGTAAAGAAAGAAGACAATTTGAAAAAAAATGAAAGTAAGTGATAAAGCTCAACTCTGTCATATAAAATTGCTGAGTTAGTAGCATTAAAATTAAAGCCCTACACAATAGCAAAATCTCTCATTTTACCTGCCTTCTATGAAATAATGATAAATAATGATAATATTTTGGGAAGAAGCAAAGAAGGAAATTTTGAAGATTCTGGTATCTGATGACACGATTTGCAGAAGAATTAATGACATGTCCTGCGACATTGAAAGAACAGTTGCAGGTGAACTTGTTAACATGCCCTTTGCATTATAAATAGACGAATCAATTGACATAAGTGGCAAGACACGGCTCTTAGGCTTTATACGATTTATTTATGGAAGAAGATAATAAGTCAATTTGTATGCTGCAAAGAACTTTTGGGGCATACAACTGGCCAGGTCTTTTGATGCAATAACCTCATATTTGAATACATTAAAATTATCATGGGATCAATGTGTCAGTATTTGTACCGATGGAGCAGCATCTATGATGGGGATCAGTCAAAGAATCAATCCAAATGTAATATTTCATCATTGTTTCTTGCACCAAGAAGTACTTGTCATAAAGACAATGATAAGAAACTAAACAAAATATTGGATCACGTAGTTTCCATAGTTAATTATATTAAAATGAGACCAATGAAAAGCCGAATTTTCAAACAAGTTTGTTCATCTATGGACGTAGACTACGAATATTTACTTCTTCATACAGAAGTGAAATGGTTGTCACATGGAAAGGTTTTAAATCAAATGTTGCAATTAAGAAATGAATTACTAGTTTTTCAAAACAGAAAAACATGAAATGTTTGGAGAATATCTGAAAAATGATAATTGGTGCAATAATTTGGCATATTTGGCTGATATTTTTGCTTACTTTAATACTGTCAATATAAGTAAGCAAGGAAATAATGAAAACATTCTTACATCGACTGACAAATTATGTGCAATGAAAAAAAAAACTTTTACTATGGAAGAGACATGTAAGTGAAAGAAACATAGAAATGTTTCCTTCTGTGCAGGATATAAACGAGGCAATCATTTCTTTAATATTCGAACATTTAAGAACAACAGGAAAAATTTTGAAAAATATTTTCCATTGTTAAACACTGAACAATTCGATTGGATAAGAAATCCATTTTGTTTCTTCTGGTTTCTCCAGTTTTACTCTGAAGAAGAACTGACGTTGCTCCCTTCAGATTGTGGATTAAAAATGAAATTCATTGAAAATACTCCTGAAAATTTTTGGATCTCTGTTAAAAATGAATACCTGGGCATAGCAAAAAAAGCACTCAACACATTATAGTTATTTTCCACATTGTATCTTTGTGAAGCAGGATTTTCAGCGATGGTTAATAGTAAAATAAAGAAACACGAGAACCTAGAAAATTTAGAAGAGGAGTTGTGAATGGCTTTATCATTTATTTTTCCCAATATTACTGAAATCTACAAAGATAACCAAGCTCATGTGTCACATTAAATTTGATTTTTTTAAGTATTGTAATTTTGAGTGATTTTTAAATAAAAATGTTTGCATTAATCAATATTGGTACTTTATTCTTTTATAGAAGTAAAACTTTAAACAAAAGTGGCCAAATGCATGCCTGTGGGTGTTTTTTCTTTACTAATGGAGTTATTTTTGCCAGCAATATTCCTGTTTTCACAGTACACTTAATTTGAAAAAGGTTCATCCCCCTGCTATAAAGCTGATGTATTTTAAGTGTTCTGCAGAAAAAATGTCAAAGTTTAGTGTTCCCTGACTTCAAAAAGATTGAGAACCACTGTATTATAGTGTTGTAATGAATGTATCTTATTTTTATACATATAAATTATTAGATTCATACAATTAAGGATTTATGTAGAATTACACATTCTATTAAACACAATTTGTTATTTTTAAAATCTGCAGAGAAATAAAGTATAATTTTTTTATTTCAGTTTTCACATACTATAGTTTTATCATTGTATAGTATTCAGTATGTTTCAGATTTGATACATTTTTGTTGTTGTTAAGAATTAAACTAACAAACAAATTAAATTTTGATGAAAAATGATTAAATTTTGAACAAATTTAACAACAAAAAAGAGTTTTACATATAGATTTTAAATGAAGTCCTTTTTATAAATTATGCTTTTAATTAAATTAATATATGCATAATGTATATGTTTAATTTGTAATTTGAGATTAAGAAAATATTAAAAATTATTTTTATATTAAGAAACATGCATGCAAGCATATATATATATATATATATATATGCATGCTTGTGTACATATAATAAGTTTATATTGCTTTATAAAGATTTTCTATAAATAATTATAAATATATAGTTACTTTGATTTTGTCAATTAATATTATAACCAATTTAAGTATTGTATTACTGAAGTAACTGATATATATTTTTTTCTTTTCTAGTACTTCATGAAGAATTAATTGAGTTAGATAAGAAAAATAAATTTACAAGTTATATATCAGGTATAAATTCAATATTTTAGACATTTAACAAAATTATTCATGCTTCAGAAAATTAATAAAATGACTAATAAATACAGTAGAGCATTGATTATCTGAATACTGATCAACCAAAACATCGACCTTTACTTTAAATATTAATTTTTTTGTGTAAATTAGCTTAATAAACTGAAATTGTTATTGTTTAATTTGTGTTTGGTTCACTTCCTCAATCCATGCCATCTCTTGTGTCGGATCTAAGCGCCTACAAATGCTATCGCTCGCATGAACAAGACGGAAATTGTGGTCATTTAGGTTTCTGTGTCTACCTTAAAGACACAGTGGTGTCAGTCCTGACAAACTTGTCATCACAATGCGATGTCAACCCTTTGGTCCTGTTTGGTGCCAAAGCATAAGGGGCGCTTCGTGCATTGTCACAAATGCTTCCAATGATTCTATCAAGGACCGGTTCTGGGCTGTTAGCTGCCTACGTGCTAGATATTTGCCCCATTATGCGAATCACGAGTCGATTTATAACTAACCCAACCAATAGGAGTTTTCTAGTATGTTTTTATAATAGTTCTGTATAGTTGACAGGAGTTTAAAAAATCCATTAAAATATTTGATATATTTATTCTGCTCTTCCATCTTGTATTACTTACAGATTTCAATGTTAAACTAGAGATATTACGATTTAGTATGTCCTATATATAAGGGGGTACAGAGAAAAATGTGTACAATTCTTGTACAATGCTAAAAAAAATGAACTGTTACTTTGGTAGTATCATTTGCAACTAAATTTAATGAATGAGATGCATGAAGTACAAAAAAAGCTCTAGAATTTATTTTCCTTAAATTTACGATTTATGTATCCATTGTCATAAAAATTTATCTTTCCACTTCTTTCCCAAGACTACAAATATTCAAGTACAAAGTAACTGGTTTCAACTTATTTCTATTTAAGAAATAGTTAAATAATTAAGAGATTAGAGAATTAGGGACATAAATAAAACCCTGCTGAAAGAGCCGGAATTTTACTTAAACAACTTAACTGAACCAATCTCTAGCCGAGTACAGTGGGGACTGATTTCTTCATAATATTAGATGTAATGAAGACAGAAATTTTTCCAGTTCAATGAGAGTGACTGAAAAGTTGTAAATTTTGGAAATTTCCATGGACACCTGATCCTAAAATGAATTAGTTAGAAAACAAATGACGGACAATCTACTTAGTATTAAGTTTAACATATGTAGATTTTTACAGCTATGGTGAGAAATGTTTAAAATTTACAACAACTCTGTTGCATCCTTTGAGGTATACTAGTGATGCGACAAAAGAGACACCAGTATCGGCGCTCTCGGGATTTGGCAGCCCTCATGCATGCATGCATGCACTGCACACCTATCAGGACTGTCTGATTCCATCCATTAGCCACTTGTATTTGACTAAGTGGATTGTTTTAAGATTTAAAAAGTAAAGAATATTTTGTTATTTTTATGTATGTTTCTTTACAAAGCTACATTTAATTATAATTTTTTTAAAAGTATATTCATACAATTGAAGAATATTTTGTACCAGGTATGTATATCCACCACATATTTTATTTCACCAAGTAAATTTTTATAATTTTTTATTTTTAATTTTAACCCTTATGTCATGGCTAGTGATTCAGAATGTAATTATGTATTAAAAATACATTTAGAGAAGTCTACGATTTTTTCTGGCATATTGTACAAATGAATACGAATGGACCTTAGACGATCACTGACGTGCAATTAACTGATTGCCCCTGGAAGTCGGCTTCTTACAGAAACACAGCTTTCCTATCATCAAATGTCATGGCACACCACTGCATTATACCCATTATATCTGCAAAACATCCTACTGTATGTCAATGAGAAACTTAAGATAATATTTAAGCATAGCAATTATGGTGATCAATTCTGAGTTTGGGCTATTGTTGATTGCAATAGCTCAAACTCATGTTATGTACTGTAAATATGCAATGTTATATACTGTATAACCTTGCATATAGCCTATTTATTTATTTATTTTTATTTTTGACTTATGATGTGTTTTTTGGAATATAACTCCATTGTAAGTCAAGGAGAGATAGAGTATAATAATTCTGGCCTCATCTCAAAATTCAACAAAACTTTGCAAAAATATTTGTTTGAACCAAATGGCATCTATGTAAATTTTGAACCTTATTGTGCTGCCACCTGTTGAGAAAATTTAAACCAACATTTTTTACTTTAAATCAGGGGTGTCCAACCTTTTTGTTTCTCTGGGCCACATTGGAAGAAGTCATGGAGTTTTGGGCCACAAGTATATTTTGACCCAATCCTTAAATATACTTGTATATTTAAGTATTAACATGTCTAGATTATAGTAATAAGTATTAAAAGTTTACCACAAAAAAGAATATTTTTAAAAATTACTTTTACAGACACTCAATTTTTACTTAGAAATAGATAAATTCATTTATTATAAAAGAAACAAACGAAAATTTATTTGAAAAACACAAATATTTGTTTTATTTGGGTCTCTAATTAATAAAAAACGACGAAACACCATTTTAAAGTGCAGTTTTATTCGACTATATATTTATAAATAATATGTAGCCCAAAAAGTAGCCAATATGCCAACTGATATTTTTTACATCAAACTAATAAAAGGGTAGCGAAATTTGGTGCAAAGTAGCCGAATCTTGCAACGCTGGAAGGAATACTAAATAAAACTGGAGTTGAGACTCAAAGGATTATAGACTCAAATGTGGGGAAAGAAGAAAGTGAACAAAAGATAAAGAAGTGAGGAAGGTTGGAAAATTAAGGGTCCATATTGCATAACAGGAGGTCTATTTAACCTTTCTCATTACTTTTTATCTTTAGGTCTTTTTCTTCTTTCCCCGAATTTGAGTCTATACTCCTTGAGAGCCAACTCCAGCTTTATTTAGTATACCTTCCTCATTCACACATTTCTAAGTATTTGAAAATATTTCTTTTCCACTCAAAAATAAAATATGTATAAAGGTTTGCGGCTTTGTGAAACTTCTTTTTTGAGTTTATGCCATATAAATAAATAAATAAATAATTTAAAAAATTGTTGGTTTTGTGTACACGTTACAGGTTGGACACCCCTGCTTTAAATATTTTGAATAGGGCTAATAGGAAATTTTTTTCTAATTTTTTTGCATATATCTCTGAAAAGCTGGAATTTCTTACATAAAATTATAAAAACACATCTTTTCCTATTTTTTTTTTAACAATAACTTTAATCACAGAACGAACATTTTTGACCGATTGCCGAGACAACATTTAGACACCAGTGACATCTTAGAGATATTGTAGACATGGTTCAGAAAAATTTCATTGCAGAGGCAATGTTTCTTGTTTGCCATAGTTTAGACAGCAATTAGAAACTGGTTATTTGACCTACTTTCTAGACTCTTGAAAGCAGGTTTAGCTACAGTTTTTGTCAGAAATTAGTCTTTTTTACCAAACATGTTATGTAAACAACCTACAATACAAAAAAAGATTTTTATTTCTGTTAATGTTTGATTTCTTACTTTGCAGTTAAGAGTTTTCCATCTTTGTTTGAGAATCTTTTGCATTTATTGTAGAAAGTTGGCTTTTGTCTTTTTTTTTTTTTAAATAATGCTGGGATTTCTACACAAAATCCATTTTTTTTAAAGAACTCAATGCATTGCAAAATCAACTACAAATAAAGAGCCATTACAGAGTAATGGCTCTTTATTTGTAGTTGATTTTGTTAATAAATAGTTAATTTTGTAGTTGATTTTTTTAATAAAGAGCCATTACAGAGTAATGGCTCTTTATTAAAAATTTAAATCATTACAGAGTAATGATTTAAATTTTTCTTTCAATTGAAACAATGTTCTTTTCATCATTGACACTTGCAAGATATGGCACACAAAATAAATTATATAGCTATCAATGGTACATATTGTGTACAGTTTGCACAAATTATGTATGCTTTTGGCCACTATGATTTTCTTTAATATAAATTGTTTGTACTGTTTGATGGAATGCATAATTTCACATATATTCACATCAACTTTCTACAATAAATGCAAATAAGTCTAACGTTGTAACCAAGATTCATTGGGTAGTCAAAGCAGTGGTCAAGATTCTCAAACAAAGATGGAAAATTCTTAACTGCAAAGTAAGAAATCAAACATAAATGGAAATAAAAATCTTTTTTTGTATTGTAGGTTGTTTACATAACATGTTTGGTAAAAGACTGATTTATAACAAAAATCATAATTTATTGTATGATTTTAGCTATATCTTAGTCAAAGTAAAAAAATTGCAACTGCTGCTACTGTTTTGTTACTACCTCATTTCATAATGCCAAGTCTTTAAAAAAGTAAGGGGGAAAAATTATAACTGTGCATAACTGTGAAAAGGTTAATGAACTAAAAATCAAGCAGATTAATGATAGTCAAGTATGCTATCAATAACCAAAAAATTAAAAATATTAATTAGCCCCAATCAAAAATATTTTAAAGTAAAAAATTTTTGATGTTTTTTGAATTTTCTGAATAGATTGCTGCACAGTAGGGTTTACACAGATGCCATTTGGGCTCAAACAAATATTTTTGCAAAGGTTTTGTTGAATTGTTTGATGAGACCAGAATTTATATAGTTACCCTGTAGTACTCTTTCTAAAACATATATAATTTGCTTTTTTTTTTTATTATAATTAATTTTCATATAATTTTCAGGTCCATGGTTTGACATGTATCTAAAATCTAGGACACCCGTAGTTCTAAATTTTAATCCTTTTTTGAGTTTCAAAAATGATTCTAAGCCAGCTTATAATGATCAGGTATGTTTATATTTGTGTAACCTTATTGTAAACTCTTTTAATTTGAAAGTATCAAGTAAATATTATTATATAACATTAATTTATATAATATTTACTACTACTACTACTACTAATAATAATAATATATTATTAATCTATGACTTGATACTTTATAATTAAGTTTTGTAATAAGAAATTATCATATATTCAAAAACTCGCTGTATACAGGGGGGGTGCAAAACTAGGTCTAAAATTGTTATTATGGGGAAAAAAACATAAAGGGAGAAAATAGGAAAAAAACATTTATTTTTATGTAAAAATTAAAATCACAAATAAGAAATACAAACTAATAAAATATAATAATAATAATAATGAACACCAAACATTTGTATTTGTCAGATTCTCAACTGTATACCTACTTTTGCACCCTTCATATATAGTGATTTGAATAAGAATAATTGATTGGGTCAGATTTCAAGAGGTAATTTAGTTCCCCCTCCTATTTTAAGCTGGGTATCAGTGATTTCATTGTGCCAAGCCAGCACATAATCACATTACTTCTGTGCAGTTTACACAGTTGATATACACACTTCATCTGTATAGTGCAATACACACTTCATCTGTATAGTATCTGCTGGGAAGAAAAGAGAGTAAATAAAAGGTGATGATGACATTTAGCAACATACTTACTCTTTGTAGAAAAAAAGAAAAGCAAAATAAAACATTGATTTATTATTATTTTTATCAGTTTTTATCTTTATACTTTTCATATCTTTTATCAAAAATTTCTGGAAAATTGCAAACTTTTATTAATTTTTTAATTGATGTATTCACCACTGAACTATTTTTCAGAAAGTGATGTCAAACCATCTTTTTTGTTGCTAATTGATTGCATCTGATTTGTGTGATGAAAAAGTACATCCATCATGAGAGTCTAATTTGCATTTAACCAGATTTAGATGCCATTTTTTACAAATTATGCTTGAGCAGTGTTGAAAGCATTTAAAATACATGGCAAATTGCTTGTGTGAATCCCAGCTTTAAACTTTTTTTTAACTCTTTAAGTAACATGAAAACATTTTATCACCACCATGTGGTTTCATAGACTGCTTGGTTTAATTTGTGTTTAGGATTGTAATGTTTGTAATTAAAAGGACTTTTATTTTTCAAATTGAATATTTTTAGGAATATATATTATTTATACAAATTAAATTATTTTTGTCTTAAATATGTCTGTACAGACTTTGCACAATTTTTGGCACAAGTACGTAGGCTGATTGGCATTTGGCACAACTAAGGTTGAAAAGTTTAATAATATTACATACATGCAGTGGTCTCTGAGACTGTTCAAGAAAACAAACTGAAAAAATAAAATGTAAATTACTAAAGATTATCACATAAATTGCATTTAAACTGGTAGATAGTAAGTTTGTTTAAAGCTATTGTAGTGCTCTGCCACTATTGTTTTTGTATTTTATTCATTTTTCTTGTTTTCCGTAATCTTGTATCAAGATTTATCTCAATTGTTGCGTTACCTGGATCGTACTTATTTTCGTTTGTCATGCACCAGTTTTTCCTGTAATTGTTTTCGTTGATGTACATGTCACGTAGAGCCATTGTGAGTTGATTTGTGAGTGGACTATTATTAGCTTACATATAACTCATGTGATTTGGATGGCACGGAGTATAAATTGTAGGAGCACCATGCACCAAGGACCTTTTTCCTGTTAGTCACCAGTCTGCACCTGGACAGACTTTGGGCTCTACCCAGGGAGAAGGAAAAAGCAAGGTAAGGACAAAGAAATTTCTGCACTTGTGCCAAGGTTTTGAATGGACATAACGAAAGGGAAAATCTTTTTCCATCGCTATGAGGACATTGCTTGAACCTACTGCCAAACTGTTATTGAATAATCTTACAAGTGATTAACACCTCAATACGAATATTTCTTTGTTAGGTGTGAATTTTTCGCTAAAAAAAAAATTCAACTGCTACGTGACTAAGGATAACCCACTACACTCTTAAGGAGAATCACTTATCGACTAATCAGCCTATGTTCTGTCAATGTAAAATTATTTAAAATATTTTTGTGTAATTATCTTTAATGTTATTAGGATTAATAGGTTAAGTAACCTCACTCTGTGCATGTTTTGACTGGTTGCAATTAGTTATCTTGTGCTGTTGAGAATTGTATGTTTGATCTCAGTATTATAAAACAGTTAAATACCAAATTCCTTGTATTAATTCTTGTTTGTAAGGCCCTTCATTCTTATCCCTCCACATTCTGTGTGTTTTGGCCACTACAAATCTACACTATAGAAAAGGACAATTTTCTCTGCTAATAGGAAAGAAAGTTATAGAAAAATTAAATCTTTAAATCTCTTGTGCCACTCCATGTTTGTTGAGAGTTAAAAGAGGTTTACATGCTCCATTATTAAAACCTAAGTTTTTCCAAATGAAAAAGTATTTAAAATTTTTAAGTTTAAATTAATTAAAAAGCTAATTTGAGTTTTATTCATTAAATATTTAAATGTTCAAAAATAAAATTATTAAAAAGACATATATGTAATTAAAAATTATAATGGCTATATTTTTTTGTTTTATAATCCTAAAGATAACAATCTTATAAGTTGAGAGTTGATATTTTCAATTAAAAAGAAAACTATTAACTGTTAAAACTGAAAAGTGAGATATTTTAATATCTAATAACAAGTAGTTTAACAGTGAGTCAATCACACAAAATAAAATCAGAACAATAAATGAAAATGATTAACTATAGCAGCATTTGTTGGCAATAATGGTATTAAATTGCAAAGTAGAGCACACGAGCAGAAGTAAGGTAGGGATGAATTCTAATTACTCATTTGTAGACATATAAATCTTGCCACTTATGAAGTGTGCAGAATTTAAATTTCAGTATTATAAAAGAAGTTCTACAGATAAGTTTTTTAGTCTAGTGTTTTGAAAAACGTTTAGGGTTTAAAGAAATTGATTTATTCTTTGAAACCTTGTTACCCAGTGTTAAATTTTTATTATATTTTTAAAAATGAGTAGTTTTAAATCTAAGTTTTTATTAATAGAAGTTAGATAAATATAATTTCAATTGTTGTTAGTTTGGAATTTATTTTATTTAAATTTGAATAATTATTTTTCAGTTGATTCGAGCAACAAATATGTTGATTTCTTCTCTCAGATTTTTTAAATCTTTAAGAGCTGAAATATTGGAACCAGAAGTTTTTCATTTGAATCCTGAGAAAAGTGACACACCTTTTTTTCGAAAAATTGTTAGGTATGATTTGTGAAAATCAAATATATGTAGCATATTTTTAACTTGGATTTAAGAATAAAAACTATAAATAATATACATTAAATATAAATTAAAAGCAGCAATAATCTAAATTTTTGTAGTATTAAGATTTTTATAATATTACAAGAAAAATTGTTATAAAAAATACTTCTTTTGATATTTATTTGTACAATTTCAATATTATGGTATATTGTATTTTTTCAGTATGGAGGAAAGGCTATATTCATAAGTATAATTGCACAAGTTAAATATATTTTAATATGAAAAAGGTATTCAGAAATCTATGATTCTGATGTGAAATTTTATGGATAGGTGCAACATGTTTCTATACACAGTAGATGAAATGAAATATCAATAATGATTTGGTTAGAATGAGGCAAAGTTTTTGGTGATCTGAAACAAGAATAGACTTATCTAAAACATTTATCATATTAAAAGTTTTTCTGGTTCATAACAATCATCTGTAGCATAAAGTCACTTTTCATCATAATTACTCTCTGAATACCAGTATATTAATGCAACATAAGATAATGGAAGTTTAAATGGGCAATTTTTTTATATTTTATTTACATTATTGTACTTTTGATTACTATTCTAAAATTTATATAAGAAGTTATTCAAAATTCTTTGAGAAAAAAAGTGAAAATATTAATACAATAAAAAAAAATCTTGAATTTTTTTTCCTAAAACATAAAATTTTTCAAAGACAGTATTGTAAAACTACATTATAGACAGGAAAATGAGGTAAATATTGATATAAGTTATTTTGCATAATGAAACGAATTTATATAAATCTTTCAGAAAGTTCCTTAAGTTCAAAAGCATTGATAAACATTGAAATTCATTAAATTATTTAAAAATTTGTGTTAATATGATTCTAATTTTAAACTTAAATATTAAAAAAATAACAGTAAAAATGATTTTTAAATTCAATTAAAGATTGTATTATGAAAGTCTTTCAATTATTATGATTATAACTTTGATTTTCAAATTTTTAAGGTTTTTCCCAAAATCGATTTCATGGTATGGTGCTTATTTATTTAAAGCTTTTCCCCTTGATATGAGTCAGTTTCATAATTTGTTCAATTCAACAAGAATACCTCATCAGAATAAAGATGAAATTAGAAGAAATTCAGCTGGCCGTCATATTTTAGTATTAAGAAAAGGTCATTTCTATGTTTTTGATGTATTAGATAATGAAGGTAATTTATTATTTATTGTTGTTACAGTTAGTTGTATATTTTTAATACTTACTATATTTTATGTATTTATATATTTGCATTTTTAATGTTTTTTTTTACTTTTTAATTTGGATTATTGTTTGTCTGTTGCATGGAGATGTCTTTCTTGCAACTAGCTGTCATACCTGCAAATTTTTTTGAATGAAGATTATTATTAATACATTTTTTTTTTTACCATTATCACTTTTATTCTTTTTAATATTAGTACTCCTTTAATGATTAAAATGAATAATAGTTAATTAAGAGTAATATATTGACAAAATTTACTTTTTACAATTATAGCATTATTATATATTATTGATAATTTAATCATATTTGTTTATCTAAATCAATGGTACTCAAACTTTTTGTTATGGTTGACCAAATTGCACATAAGTTATAAGAAGGCAACCACAAATATTATTTATATACTATATGTATACAAAAATTAGACTTCTTTCTATCATTTTTAAGTGATGCCAACCATAGTTTGGGCACCAATGATCTACAAATCTTGTTATTTTGAGAATATAATATATTATTGTAATTTTTTATAATTATAATATTAGCCTGACATTTGTTGATTTGGTTCCTTATGATAAGACTGCCAACAGTTACTGCTACTAGGCAATTTTGCAAGAGAATTTACAGCCTTTCATAGCCCATTCTTGGCTGCAGGGAGAGGCAATCTTCTAGCACGATCTCACCTAGCTACATACTGTATGTTTCACTAGTGCTTGGCTTTGTGAAAATCAAGTCTAAGTCCATGACTGGATTCCAAATTTGCCTGATCTGAACCCAGTTAAGTACAGTAGAGCATCGATTATCCGACTCAATTGGGGACTGGGGTTGGTCGGATAATTGAAAAGTCGGATAATCGAAAAGTATGAAAAAATCCATTATTAGTGTAGTATATTATTATATCCCATGTAATTAGTATATTAGTATATCGCTATTAACCTACTTCGCGTTGAATTTTCCTCCATGTTAAGCCTATCAAATTTAAAAAAATAATAATAATCGTTGCTATTGTATCATTAAAAATTAGAAAATTAAGCCTTATTTAAATACTGGCTCCCTTTCATGGTCAATCCAGTGTTGCCAACTAAAACACGTAAAAATAATATTAAAGTAGCCAAGACATAGCCAAATATTGTAGCGCCACATCACTAGTGGACATTTGAATTTGCCGACTAGAACGCGGTCAGTTAACCGAGGTGATGGTTAATCGGGGGTCAGATAATCGATGCTCTACTGTATCTTTGGCATGTCCTTAAGAACGAGATGCAAAAAAAACAAGCCCCGATCGAATGCTAACCTGAAGATGACGTATAGACCAACATTTCACAAGATCTTTGCCATGCTCATGTCACATCAATGCCTAGGTGAATTGCTAATGTGTATGCTGTAAAGAGAAGACCCACGTAGTGGTAATTGTACTTGAATGCTGGGTGCATGTAAATATTTTGCCTCTGATTTTTCAGAAGAGTAATGCTTTCAGGCATATACGGAGATGCCTGTTACAGTGATTGAGCCAATTTTTTTATAAAAAATAGCTGAAGTAGAGTACTTTGTTTATGAAATGAGTTTCATTTCAAATGCAAATGAGTCCAGTTTTCTTACTGTTTATAACAATCACAAATGGAGTGGGTATATATTCATTGCCACAGGGAAGGAAATTATTAAAATTCAACTATATCATATAATGTTATGCAGCTGAATATTATATAATACAATCAGTTAAGCAATTACACAACTATTTTGTATTTTTTAAATAGAATGAAATATTAATACAAACATATAACTTAATATATAACTTGAAAATAATAAAGTTTGAAAAGGAGCTAATATAACAAAAACAAGTGCAAATAGCAAAATGAATTTATTACCAAAAGTTAGGTACAGATATGGTTACTTTTTGACATAGTCACCGTGAAGATTGAGGAATTTGTCATATCTGTAGATGAGCTTTTCTTTTCCATCCCCTTGTCATAGAATGTTGCCTCCAATGACTTGAGATGGGCCATAATGTTGTTTTTGAAGATCATCATTAGTAAACACCAATGATATGCCGAAAATCTATCGGGCTAGTATTAGGCTAATTACTAAATAATTACTCTAGTGCCAAATTGATTACGTAATTCATTTAGTAATTAGCCTAATACTAGCCCGATAGATTTTCGGCATATTGTTGGTGTTTAGTTATGTTATATATTGGGTTTAGCGATGTTTGATCATCATTAGTCTTGAACTTCTGCCCTCCTAGCCACTTTTTTGTTCAGGAAATTGGCGGAAGTCACTCGGCACTAAATCAGGGCTATATGCTGGGTGTTTAAAGATGGTGAAGACTTCCACCTTTCAGACTTCCACCCAATGGAACTTTTTAATGTGTGAAGACTTCCACTTCTTTCCTGAACTGAAAATGTAGCTAGCAGGGCAAGGGTTTGAAACTAATGATGATCTTCAAAACATTGTTAAGGCCATCTCAATTCACTGGCGGCTACATTCTTTGAGAAGGGAACGGAAAAGCTCATCCACAGATATAACAAATTTCTCAATCTTCACAGTGATTATGTTGAAAAGTAACTATTAATGTTGCAATGAATAGTATATTCGGCCAAACTATTTGGCTTGATTAACGCATGTACGAAAATTGGTGCGCAAACTGCATTATGGCAAGGACCCTGCTCTTCATTGGCTCGCTGTCACTACACTTCGCCAATCGCGTTAATTCTTGACAATTGTAACGGACAGACAAGAGCATCATGGCAGTATGTGATAAATGATGATATCAAGTGTGAATAACAATGAAATGACCTACATGTGAAAATAATGGAAAAAGAACAGAGAAAGACCACGAAGTGAAAATGTGAAAATAAATATGAAATTGAGTTGATAACATAATCGAACAAGTCAATTATGTTATCAACTCAATAAGCTGCCTCAAACAAGTCGAGGCAGCTTATTGGCACGAAATTCATGGCCGTGAATGCCAAACAATTGTTGTCATAGACTTTGAAAAGCTAAATGCTTGTAATGAAAGTCACTTAATGTGCATGGGTGAAAGCCTGGGGTCGTTCGGGCTACCAAGCTGTTTCGAATCTGTAAAATCATAACTATGACTTATACCAACATCTTATCTGTCTCTTTTCTCTGTTATCACCAGGCTATGAGTCATGTAATTGTAAAATGGGACATCTACGACGGGAAAGTGACGAATCGAAAGTATGGTGAGTGCATATTATGATGTATGCATAGGCATATGTGGACAACAGTGATAGAGGAAAGAGAAGAGCAATAACGAGCTCTTAAAAAGGATAGGCAGGGTCTGACCCTCAGATGTGCGACGATTCTCGAACGAATAGGTGTGTACGTGTGCTGATCTTTGTAATTATAAATTGTGAATACAAGTGATTAATATTATGTTCTTTTTTATTTTGTGAATGTTATAAGTTATAAATAAATATAAACAAACAACACTAACCCGATAACATTAAATCTAAATACCAAAATGATTAATTTACTGTGTTTTTGTTATTTCTTACTCCAGTTTTTAGGTATTCGTTATTCGGCCGAATAGCGAAAAATAGGACGAATACTGAATAGTAACCAAATATTCGTTACATCACTAGTAACTATGTTTGTACATAACTTTTGGTAATAAATTCATTTTGTTATTTACACTTGTGTTTGTTATATGGACCATCAGAAGTTGAAAAAAGCCCTTGTATATATTAAATAACAAGTATATTATTATTTATATTAAATTGTTGTTATATTTATTATTTTTTGTTCTAAAATTTTTTGAAATATTGTTAAAGAAGGAATTTTAAAATCTATATTTTTAACATTTTTGTATTATATAAATATAAAAAATCAATTCTCTGTTAAATGTTTTAAATATTAGCAAAAGGATGATAATTTGAAAATATAACACAAAAAATTTTAAAATATTCTGATGATGAAAGCCATGTTTGTTCATTAAATAAAATAATCAACAGATCTTTAAAATTAAACTAGTAATTAATTGCTTTCGTAAGGAGAATCATTTGCACTTGAGTATTAGGTTTAAAAAGTATAATTATTAAAAACAAATTTTTTTACTCTACATTTTAGGCAATATTTTTCCACCTTCCTATATTCATGCTTGTTTGAATTATATTATGAAAGATAAGCATCCCACTGTTTTGGATTCAATTGGTGTATTAACTACAGAAAACAGAGATACTTGGGCATCAGTAAGAAAACATCTAGAAAATTTAGGAAATGGAGAGCAATTGAAGCTTATTGATAGTGCTCTGTATGCTTTGATTTTAGATGATGAGGATTGGGGTGATGATAAAGTAAAATTAGCACATGAGATGCTCCATGGCCCTGCAGAAAATAGGTACTAACTATTTGATGGTTCTATAATAATTTGCTTATAATAAAATAAATTATGTTAGTGTTATTTTTATATAAATGATTAATTTTAGTAAGAAAATATATTATTATTTACCTGTTAATTGCTCATTAGCAGTTAATTGTAAATACAGTAAGACCCTGCTTAACACGGGGGATGCATTCCTAAACAACAAAGCGCTAAGTGAAACAGTGTTAAACAAGGTTATTTTAACATAGAGTAAATAGGGATAGGGGAACACACAATCAAAGATAAACAAATTTTACTTTAATTTTAAGTTATTTTTATATTAATTTGTATAAAAATATATGTTAAATAACACACAAACATGCACACAGAAATGTAAAGTTCATTTTTTTGTGATGAAGGTTTTGACTTTTCTGAAATTCTTGTTGTTTTGCAATAAAGTCGTGAAATTTCATTTGATGCTTTTTTCTTTCCTTAAGCATATGTCAGTAGCAGAAGATTGCATCCAAAATGCCTCGTTTTGCTTTTGCACTCCTTTCAAAATCAGGATCATTCGCTACAATTTGATCAATGATTTTGATTATCTTACCAAACTTTTACTAAGAAAATCTGTAGAGGAATTTTTTGGGTTCTTCATTTTTCAGAATCTATTTTCCAGTTCTACATGAATTCCATGTTCTGCCAGTTCTTGAAGGTCATCGTTGGTAAAGCTCTCACCAGAAATCTGCTGTAACTCCTCAATATCATGCTCATCTATATCTCCTAGTCCTGCTATATCTATTAGGTTGAGTTTGGTCAACCTAATGATACAGTGATAGGTTCTTCTTGTTGAGAATTCTTGGATACACTTCAGCCATAACTTCATTTACACTTTGTTCATGCATTCCTCAGTTAATTCTTGCCAAGCGAATCCGATATTGCCTATGGCATCCATGATGTTATATCTTTTCCAAAATTGCACCAAACAAACATAGATTTAAAGAAAGTACACCTTTTTTTCCACCTTTTGCTGATTGGTTTGTGTTCGCAAATAATCGTATTATATACAAATCAATGAAATGCCGCGATAATTTAAGTCAGCATAAAATTTGAGCTTTTTTTAGGCTTTGAGCAGACCGCATTATATTGAATCAGCGTTAAGCAGGGTCTTACTGTATACATATATAAAATAAGTGAAATGGAAAAAGAATATATTTGAGATGGTACTCTAAATTGCATAACTGATTAAAATATTTATTGACACTAATTGCTAATTTGAAAGCATACTCAATCCAACATAGTCAATTTTTACATCTGTAGATATGATAACTCAAATTCTCTTCAGCAGAAATTATCTAGAAAGAATACATATCTACAGTGAGATGCTCAAATGAAATTAAGAAATTTATTTTTAAACAAAATATATGTTTTATTAAAACAAAAAACAATTTAAATGTGGTAAAATGTTTTAGTTTACAAAGAAAATAGCAGAAAGCAATGTTGTTATTTGTAAACAAGATTAAAATNAATATTCAAAAAATTTATAGACAAAAATCATAGTCTTTATTACACAACTAGATTTCATTATATCCAATGTCTCTTACATCTATAAATCTTTCTTTTCAGCTTCAAATTAATTAAAACAGGTATAAGAGGGGGGAATTGTTCAATTATCATTAAAATGCCAAGCTAGAATTTTTATTCATATTTTAATTTCCAGTCCAGACTGAAAGTTCATATTTAGTTAATCTGGACCTCCAGACTTATGCTTTCCTTATCTGGTCTTGATTTTCATCTATCTAATTCCACATATGCCTAAAAAATTTTAAATACTTTTGCTAATTTTTATAAAACATGCATTAAAAGAAACACCACTTACAATGCTTATAATAAAACTTTTATTTTTTTTATATGATTTACAGTGTCTTACATATGGACATTAGGCATATGGTTATTTAAACTAGGCAAGCCATATGCCTAATTTAAATAACAGACTGGGTATACTTAAATTATGTTGGATGGAATTTTACAAAATACTTAACACTCAGCTTCTGGTTTGGTTTATATAAACCCTGACTAAGATTCCAGAATAATCTGCAGTGAACCTGTATCTGAAATTATTGCATGAGATGCCCCTGTATGGGGTACCAATTAAGCAAGAAATCAGCACAGTCATTTCAGCACTTTTTGGAACTGACAAATCCACTGTTGCCAATGTTATTTGAAAGTGGAAAGCAACTGGTGCCTGTACAGTTCAGTAATGTTCAGAGAGGCCTTGTAAACTAACCAAATGCAGGCAAAAGACATCTTATATTAACTGTCATCATACACCAATATCACTCACTCAGGTAATATTTGAAAAATACTATATTCAGAAAAATCTAATATTTATTTGGCAGTAATTTGTTTTGAAGCTGAAAACCCAAAATCTGATTTCAACTAAAAGGAACGTAATGCTGAATAGTAAAACACAAAATATATTTTTAAAAATTTGCATTAACCACTAATTTCTAACATTTTCAGCCGATTTTAACCAACTTCTTCAGCAAAAACAAAACAAATGATAGTTGCATCTGAATAGAATGAAAAAATGAAAACATTCCAGAATATAACAAATATTAGTATGGGACCTTATAAGTTATGAAAAATTTAAATTGCTTATTCTAGAATGTTTTAAATTTTTTCATTCTATTCCAACACAACAGTCATTCATTTTGTCTCTGCTGAAGAAGGTTAAATATGGCTAAAAACATTAGAGATTTAAGGTGGTTAACAAAATTTTATGGCTTTTTATTAGAGTGCGAAACTGATTTCAGGCGATTCTTATATATATATATTAAATTAATAGTATAATATTGTGTTAAACAAGTGTTTGCACTTATCAATAGATGTCACTACAGAAAACAGATCTAAAATTTTTCAATTGAATTGTTTTAGCATATTCACTGACTTAGTATCTTCTTGTTTTCATTTATTCAACATGAAATTTTTTAAAATCAAATTAACTAATTAGTTTGAGCATGGAATAAAAAATAAGAAAAAATATACTCAAATAGTCAAGATTAACATACTCTACTCTAGAGGGAAAAAAATAAACTGAATCTTAGAGACATCCAAGGAACGATAAACAATATGAATTTCACTTAAGATTTAATCTTAATTGATTTAAATTCTGTAATTCATTAATAAGTCTAATTTAACTTATTTTTTAAACAAGAAGATAATCAGCTATGAAAGAATGAACTCATGGACAAGGAAAAATTGCTGTTTATTCAGTTAATTTTTTACCATTTAACTGATTTTGTAATAAGATATTTTGAAGGGAGACAATATATTATATAATCATTTTCGAGTGAAAAAAAGTTTATGAAAACTGTATCAAACTTGTGGAACATTGGATGAAGATAATTGTAAGTAATAAGAATCTCATTGTTGACTAAATAAATATATTTTATTTTATTTTTTTTAAATTGTCTTAATTTTTCCTAACACATTCAAAAACTTTGTTAAACCCAATAATATAAGACTAAGAAAAATAATAACCAAAACTTAAATTGTAAGATCCGAATAGCCCCTGGGTCTAATTAATAATTTAAAATTTAAGTTAAAATTTTGTAGAAAAATATTCTTTCGTTTTGGTGAGAAATTAATGGTTTTCTAACGTGGGAAAACTGATAAAAGAGCCACTTCCTTTGACGGAAGTAGAAGCATCCTTTGTTTTTCCCTTATCTGTTACAAATCTCACCACCCTGGGAATTGTTGACCCCTCATTTATTCCCCTTTTCATCCGTTCACATGAAAGAATCCAAGTATGATGATTGGTCGTAAATCAAGAGATATAGTTAGTTTGGCAGAATTCGGGGAGTATGTCCGTAGATCTGAGAGTGGAAAGAAGTCCACATATTTGCTCCCTAAGGCCAATGCCCTTAGTTAGGTGTTCGTCAGAAGATCTCATATAGGAGAGACGTCTCCCATATTTGCTCCACAACGCCTTTAGACTAAAGGGATATCGTATCCAGAAGGCCAACGTCGTAGACATAAATCCTTTCCATGTTAAATTAAGTTAGATAGAAATATGGAAGAAATATTTTATTTTGTGCCTATCAAGACCTCTCCATGAACTGAAGTCGGAGAACTTTATAAATGAAATACATTCGTCTAATACAGAAGAAGATAAAGTCTTGGTTGTATGAATATAATTATTTTGTGAGCTCTCTCTCTCGGCGCGTTTAAATTGATTTATTCATTGTTTCAATTGATTGTCTTCGAATATTTAATTATTTCCATTTTTGTATGATTTTATTTATTTTTGTTTATTAAATTTTCATTATTATTGTTAAAGAAATGTCTCTGGTTAACTCTCTGAATCAAATCTATATCACTAGTAGCCCGGGACGCCCCCTAGTGGGCGTTGTTTACAAATTTCCATGAAGCACGGTTCCTTTGACTTTTTTGTTCCTATCAATATGCTGTACAGCTCTGTTAAAGTCCCAATGGTAAGATTAGGTGAAGAGGTGGCGACCCCCCAAACTGTAGCCCTTTGTGCGAACAATAAAGGCAAAGGAACCATATCCCTACTCGCGACCCTTCGCGAGATATAAGCCCCTGAAATAATAAATTCATATTACAAATATACTGAATTATTTATATTGGTATATTGACCAAATAATAATTTATTGCCAAATGAATAATAATAATTCATATTGTTAATTTAAATAAGAATTAAAATTGGTAATTTGAATGTTTGAAATATGACACACGATAGGGGCGCCTCTAGTGTCGGTTGTCAAACGGTTACGGGACAGACGGACGGAAGGAAGGAAGGACGGACACTTGTTGAATGGGTTATATATATAGATATCCACACGCGTGTTTATCTGCGTAATAATAAATTGATAAACTGGTGTCAGCATCCTGATTTGGATCCGAATCTCACAATTTGGATCGGTTACCAAAGTCCTCCCGGTCAAAATCTTGATATAAGATTGGATCTCACAATCCGAAACTTGAGCACTATTCTCACAGAATAGCTCCGATTAAGTGGTACCCTTGGCAGATACCCCTGGCTAAGCTCACAATAAATATATATATATATATATTTAATGTATTGTCTTCTGTGAATTTGTAAAAGAACTTGTAACCTGAAAAGCATGTGCTTTAAACTGAAGAGGAACAGAAGTGACCAAAATGCATATTTAATAAAACAGAAAAACCTAAAAAAGGTCTCTTAGTGTTCAAGTGAAAACATTTGAAAAGGTGTGATAAGTCCTCAGACTAGAAGCTGATATAAAAACTTAATAACCATTAAATTTTAAAACAGACAAGCAATTATTTATTGTGACATTGTCACATTGCTGGAGTGCAATTTTTTAATCATATTTTTAATTTATTTAATTTAAAATATATGCTCTCCACCTTAAATTAGTGGTGGCTTGCCCCTGTACATCATAATTTTCCTGTAGCAATAGTCATGTTGGTCATGTCTCTAACATCTTTCAAGGAAAATTTTTGAGTTGAAATAACATGACTTGATTTGCATTAGAAGTGTGTATATAGGTAATTGGAGTCTCCTGTCTCTAAACACTCCATATCTAATCTTGTCTTTCATCTATCTAACTCTGTTCTCAAGATTAAAGAAAGATGCAAACAGACAGACGAGAATGGGAATTTATAGGTTACAATTTTTTCAAATTGTAGCCCAAATATCTTTGATATTTGTTCTTGAAAGCTCCACAATGTAACTATATTGTTTAAGCAAGTGCAGAGACAATAATAAAAAGTTTATTGATATGGCTTCAAAGTGCCAAGCTTATTTTTACCAAAGAAAAACCCTCAAGAAAAAATTTGACTTTCATTGTGGGTGCCATAATTTTACTCCGCACAATATTTTTCCTCTATGATGTTTTTCTTTGACTCAATTTTTTTAACAAATTAACTTTTTCACTGTCTTCCTTTTATAACTATTTATTATTGCTTCTATAACATACAAGGGTGATTCAAAAATTAAGGTAACAAGAGCTCTCATGGGTGTCATATTTCTCCTCTTGTTCGAATTTCCCATTTAGGGCTGCTAGCAGAAGACCACAGTGTTATTGCACAGGCATTAGATGGTTAAAACATTGTGTCAGACTCGCACAATTTTTTTTGTGAGTGCAATCATTTTGAAAATGGTTGCACTCATGGAAACATGGTCAAATGTGGAAGTGTTTAGTGTGGTTCGGTTTCTGCGTCTGAAAGGCAACTCACCAGTAGGAATTCATCGTCAACTTGTTGAGGTGTATGGTGGTAATGTCGTGTCATGAAAACAGGTGTGGGTTTGGTGCACTGAGTTCGATAAAGGCAGGACAGATGTGCAAACTGAATTGTTATGTTGTTTCAAGTAGGAGGTACTGGAACATCCTCCCTATAGCCCCAACCTGGCTCCCTGTGATTTTCATCTCTTCAGATCATTGAAGAAGCATCTGGGTGGTAGGCGATTCCAAACCAATATGGAAGTTTAGCAAGCTGTCATAGTGTGGCTGAAGGGACTTGATGCATATTTCTTCTCTGCTAGCATCAATACCTTGGTATATCGTTGGAATAAATGTTTGGACAAGCATGGTGACAATGTTGAAAAATAATATGTACCAGTGCTATAATAATCTGTATTACTATATTTGCCTGTGAAATAAAATTTGTACGGGAGAGCTCTTGTTATCCTACTTTTTGAATCACCCTTGTAATTTGGTCTTAAAACACAATAGAAATACAACAAAAAATAAAACCGAGATTAGAAACTAATTGCAACAAACTAAAGGAGGAAGCGAAAACTGAAAAATGTAATTAATAGGATTGTTTCAGCTTATGATTTATTGGTTTAATTTCTTGGGGCAGAATTGAACACATCAGTTCAAGTTGACTGGTATATTTTTTTCAAAATTCATATTTTAAAATTCTACAATATACTTGAGTTTAGTCGACTGTCTGTTGGGAATTAACTATTCTCATAGTATCTGGAGTGAGAGAGACTATTTTGCAAACCAATTTATTATGTCATTCGTTAATCAAATTGTTGTTTTTTTTCATTTATTATATTTAAATCTTTTCTTTAAAATGATTGACTTTAAATCAATTTTCTCATAATTAACTAATAGAAGTGGAATTTGTTTGGCTGATTAAGATGTATGTTTATTAATGTACTCTAAAGTTTTTCCAAGGTAAATTCATTATATCCATTTTTTGATTCCTCCATCAATTTTAGTACAACTTTTTGTATAGAAATTTTAGATAAAAATATTTGCATACCTAGGTGGTATCTTTCTTATAAAAGGAATCATAGTGTGGTAAGTTGGAGTTGCACATTCCAAATTTGCCCGAGTTGGACTATTTCTTTACCAACTCCACCACACTACTTCTAGCATTATAGTTATTGAGGCATGTCTTAATTGACAAGGACTAACCAATCATTAAAAGTGATTTTAGAAAGTTCCTCTTTTATAAATATGTTGTTATTATTATTGTGATATGTAATAATACTAAAGTACCTGTAGTAATATACAGGTACCACTAGAAATAAATTGAAACCAATTACTTTGTACTCGAATATTTGTAGTCTTGGGAAAGAAGTGGAAAGACAAATTTTTATGACAACGGATACATAAATCGTAAATTTAAGGAAAATAAATTCTAGAGCTTTTTCTGTACGTCATGCATCTCTCTCATTCATTAAATTTGTAAATGATGCTACCAAAGTAACAGTTAATTTTTAACATTGTACAAGAATTTTTTCTACATCACCTTATAATAAGGTGATGTAGATGTAGAAAAAATTCTTGTACACATTAATCACCTTATTATAAGGTGATGTTATTAAATTTATATTAGTACAAATTTAATACAAAATCATAATATCACTGGTTTAACATTGAAATCCGTAAGTAATGTAAGATGGGAGAACAGAATAAAAATATCAAATATTTTAATGGATTTTTTTATAAACTCCTGTCAACTATACAGAACTGTCATAAAAATTTGCCAGTAAATTCTTATTGGTTGGGTTAAGTTATAAATTTACTCGTGATTCACATAATCAGGTGAGGGCAGCCAAATATCTAGCAGGCAGGAGGCTAACAGCCCAGAACTGGTCTTGGATAGAATCATTGGAAGCGCTATATGTGTGTAGCTTCCACCAGCTAAACCACTTGAGGTTAGTGCTCTATAAAGTGCATGCGCGAATGCATATAATCTGGCTGTTTGGAAGCTGACCCAGTATTGACAATACAGTGCTTCCAATCTTATCTTTTTTTCACATGTATTATAGAAATTTGTAATAAGATACATAATGTGATTATGATAAAATATTAATTTTAATTAATCCAAAATACGTTAAACACATTGTGCAATTATTTTCATATTTTATTTTTTTAGAAAATACAAGGGAAGCAGCACACTGCTTCTTCCCTTGTATTTTCTAAAAAAATAAAATATGGAAATAATTGCGCAATGTGTTTAACGTATTTTGGATTAATTACTTACACTGCTTCCAATGATGGCATGCCACCACACATCATAAATCAAAATTTGAATTATATTCTGTGTATAAGTCAAATTTAAGTTAGCTGAATATTTTGGGCTATAATTTTGTTTAAAAGCAAAATTATAATTTAAAAAATCCAGATAAATTAGTAATCAACATGTTTATAATTATAATAAAAATAATTAAAATAATTTTAACTTTTATCTGTGAACTTTTTAGTAAAACATTAGATTGAGAATAGATTAGTTTGATTTAAAATAATAGTTTATTTACAGATGGTTTGATAAATCTTTTCAACTAATAATAAATAAAGGTGGAGTTGCTTGTATCAACTTTGAACATTCCTGGGGTGATGGTGTTGCTGTATTAAGATTTTTTAATGAGATATTTAATGATTCTACAACAAATCATCATATTCACCCTCATTCAATTCCTGCAAACTTAGATGTAACACAGAAAGTTAAAGTGTTAGGTAAGTCATTTTTATACAATATTTGTATGAAACAAAATAAATTACAGAATTAGTATTTATGCTGAATTTTGATCTTTATCTTTTATAATAATAATAAAATTTAAGAAAAAAGTAAAACATTATTATACTTGCAATATATTATTTATTGATTATTTACTGATGTTAGATTACATAAAAAAGTATAATCACTTTTAAAACTTGAGCATTTCAAGATTTTTCTTTATAAAAACATTATTAAAAAATTAAATGTAGAATTATTCAAAAATCTTTAACGTTATAGAATTTTATATATTATTTTCTTGAAGTTATAATTAAAAAATGAAAACTTCTAAATTGATGACTTTTAGAGAGTTTTATATGGAATGAAATATGAAACAATTTGTTAGTTTTCAAAGTAATTTTTGAAATTTTGTTGGGGATAGTGACAAAAGAAGCATGCACATATACCTAATTACTAACAAAAACGTCTTTAATGAACAAAACAGTCACTATGAAACCCTGAGATAGGGTAATCCAGCCAACCCAGTAAGGTAACAATTAGAATTTGTGTACTTTGTGACTGCCGTAGCATATTATAACTAATTTGTTCACAAACTCCTGAAGATCAAATCAAACTAAATTAAAATAATGGGAATAATAATAATTGAATTACAATTATATCCATAATCCCAAAACCAAAGGTACAAAATATGTTGCCAGTAGATGGCAGAACACTCCAAATATCAGCGTTGCAGGTTCCTTGGACTTTTTCTGAAACTCCTTAAGTCCTTTGTTCAAAAAAGAATTCTCTCTCTCTCTCTCTCAAGCTCAGATTTGGGTTGTGCATGTTGTTTGTTTGAGCCCCTGTTTGGATATTACCTTCATGATGTCCAAACCCGTTTCCTCCAGGAGGAGTCCAACTTCAACATTGTACCACCAAGCTGGTCTGGACACGAACACAAACAATGACATAATGCCAGACAAAGGGTAGAAAAAGCACATGAAATTGGGTGGATAGAGAAGACGTAAAAAGAAACAAAAAGGAAGATGACCACAAATGTTAAATTGTTACATTAATATTTTATAAATATTTATTAATGTTATAAAATTTAGAAAGATATTTAAATTAATACCAGTTCAACTATAGGCTTTTCTTCAACTTTTAAAGTCATTGCAATATAGTAATTAATAAGGTATGCTCAATTATAAAATGCTCTAGTTGGATGTTTTAAAATAAATTTTAATTTTGCTAAATGTAAATGTGAGCATATTGCTTAAAGATTAATTATGAAATGTTCACTCTTTCTAATGTGATGTTAACTTACTATATATTAGTTCTGTTAATTATATTTTTCGTAATTTCAAAACTATATAAAAAAAATTTTATATTGAATTTTACTGGATTATATTTTCAGAATTTAAAGTTGATGAAACAGTCAAGCAAGCCATACATATTGCTCAGGAAAATTATCATAAATTGACAAGCAATTTAAACATTGATATCATGCAATATTTTAAGATGAATAGAGATTACTTAAAAAATCAAAAAATCAGTCCTGATTCCATTATGCAATTAGCTATCCAGGTAAGTTTATAATAAACTAATCACCATAATTGGGCTATTTTTTGCTGCTATTAATAATTAGATTTTAAGTAATCTGGTGTTAGAGGTAATTTAGGTGCCATCCATTATCGAAATTAATAATTATAAATAATTTAGGGTAGTCTGGAAGAAAATCGGCCCAGAGGCAGGATTCAAACCTGCTTACCATGCAGTTGCATTGCCAGATATGTCACCCAGACCTCTGACAAATTCTTTACTTCCAGACACATTTAATTCTTGATATAACCATTCACAGTTACTCGTGGTGCCGACTGGGGATGACTCCTATGCCCTCAGCCTTTATAATCAAAGCACGTGTATGGTAAACAGTGAAACTTTCTTGTTAATTTGATCACTTGGTGATATCAGCACCCCCTGGTAACAGTTATGTAGACACTTGTTCATTACCAGGTTATACTGACCATTATTAGCATGATTGTTTGCTTCAATTGATAGCATTCTAATGAGGATATGTTTGTTTAATGTTTGCAGGCTATATAATAATGTCTTTAGCATTAGAAAAATGATTATATTGCTTTCCTAAACAAAAAGAAAAGCATATCTGGATAGAAAAATTAAAATTTTTATTTCATGTAATATTTAAATTTTGTACATTTGTTAATACGATTATACCACAATTTCACAATACAATTAATAAAATTACAATTAAAAAAAATTCTGGAATGCATGATTATTAACAATTAGGATTTTTTTGATGCTATTACCCAAAGTTCACATCTAAAAAACATGCAACAAAAATATCTACAAGAATAAAATTCTTTCAATAAATATGTTTTTATGTATATTTTATATATTTCTAACAAATTAATTAAAATAATACTTTTATATACAGATAAAAAAACTATCGTATTTAAGAATAATGAAATAATATATTTTTAATTATTTTATACACAGTTCTCATTATTTTTATATATAATCTGTGATGATTATTGCTATTGCATTTTCTATTTAATTCTTGAATAATTGAAGAAGTATTATAAACGTTTAATTTTTTATACTGCTTTAGCTTTTGATATTTACAATTAAATTTATTTAGAATATGTTGTGTGTCTATAATAGTTTAAGTAAATAATTTACTTAAACAACAAAATTAACTGTAGAAATATGTTTGGTCTAATTATGTGTACGAAAATGTTCATGAATACTTTCTTATATCTTTATAATCTAAATTTTAACAATACGATAAATTTAATTTAACTAAATATATCCTATATACAACAATTAATAGTAATTGCTAAAGGATCAAAATCATATACTTTTCATCTTCTATGGGAAATCAATTTAATCAGTTTCCAGGAGTTGAAGACATCATAAAGCTTGCAAACATGTAATAAATAAAGATATAACATTTGGTAAAAAAACGAATTTTTTATGTAAAAGGTTTGTTTCAATGTAGCTAATAATATGTGTCTAGCTGTAGGAACACATTTGATGGCTGAAACTAAATATGTGAATTTAAAATAAATATATTCATAATAAAAAGTAATAGGCTTACATTTAATTGAAAATTACTTACCATTTTCAGAGCTAAATTGATATTTCTCTAAAGTCAAATTGTAATTCATGTTCAGAAATAAGATGAGCTTTTAATAAGTCATGAAAAAGAAATGTATTGTTAGAGTTGTTTACAGGATGTCAGTCTTAATTTTCTACTTATAACACTACTCTATTTTTCTAAAATCTCTTATATGCTATTATTTCTATATTCATTTATTTCTGTATGCTGTGTTTTTGTCTTCTCAAACTATACAAAAACAAAAATCTTTTATTGCATATATCACAAACTTCACTATAATTATTTATTTGTTTATTTTTTAAAAAACTGGGTGGTTTTATCCAATCATTTGATGAACTTTTCTTAAATGAACATACAGTTTTTTGTTTTTATAATCTGGAGATTGCACTTCAAATATGTAATGATTTTTATCATCTCATTTCTTTCAAATTATATTAAAATGGATTAAATAAAAAGTGTGAATATAGTAAAAAAACATATTGTCCATTCATATATAATTGAGGTATAATTTTTTTTTAAGTGTAAATATGGATTATTATAGCATAAATTTTGATTTGAATAAAACAAAACATAGCTTCTTTCCTAATTGTTTATTAACACATATTAGTTTGTCTTACTTAATGTATTTTGCTAGAGGCACTATGGTTGGTCTCAGCCAGCCATTGTGTTCCGCAGCTAGATGTTTGTCTAATAATGGTTGGTATAACACATGGTATAACCATGCAATGAGCAAGTCTACACAACCATTACTAGACGGCACTGATATCCAGTGATGAAATTAACAATGGAGTTTCACAGCTTACCATAAACATGCTTTATTTATAATCATCCATTATGGCACTAGTAACCATGAATGTTCATATTGAAAATTAAATGTGTCTGAAAATGAAGAATTGCTCAGAGGTAATCCACATTTAAATTAACTGGCAATGAGACCACATGGTATGAAGGAGTTACGGGTTTAAATTCAACTCCAGGGCATTTTTTTTTCTAAACTAATCTGAATTATTTCATAAATACTAAATTATTATGATTATTAATTTTGATAAAGAGAGAGCACTTAACATCTACCTCTAATATCAGATACCTTAAAATCTAATTATTAGTAATAGTGAAAAATAGCCTGATTAATTATTATATAGTCTAATAAAATAAAATTGAAGGCAAAACTGTCCAAAAAAGGATCACCGTTTATTACTTGTGTTCCAAGACTAAAACATTTTCGGCGACTGACCTTCCTTTTTAGGCTACTTGTTGCCGTAAAGTTTACAAAAAGTCCTTTTAAAAAACACAAACACATCCAATTAAAATTTTTTAAAATTTCTGAAAAAGGAACTGGTGACATACAGTTGTCTTCCTTACTTCCATCATACCTTCTTTTGGGGTTTCTTCTTCTTTTTATCTACTAAAGATTAGTGCTGGAAAATGTAGATTTTTAGAGAATTTGCCCCCTGGTGATGATATATGTAGAAATTTCTTCTGTAAACGTTCGTCCGACGGAGAATTATTTCTAATAAAATAAAATTGAAGACAAAACTGTCCAAAAAGGATCACCATTTATTACTTGTGTTCAGCGACTGACCTTCCTTTTTAGGCTACTTGTCGCCGTAAGGTTTATATAGTCATTTGGTTTATTATTAATACATTGGGCTTAGTGATATATTATTAATAAACCAAATTATTGCTGTAATTAATCTGCCTATTTTTCATATAATTTTAAACATTGTTTTTTATAGTTGAATTTTTCAAAATTTTTAAATACAGTCAAACCTCAGTTTATGAACTTAATTTGTTTCTGAAAGTTATTTGCAAATCAATTTGTTCTCAAACTGAAACAAATTTTCCCATAAGAAATAATGTAATGTAAAGTGTATTAATCCATTCCCAACCCCAAAACAAAGCTTTTCTTTTTTTTTTCCTTCTTCTTAAGCAGCTTTTCATGCATAAAAATGCCTACAAATGCAATATAATATAATATCTACATTTGTAATATAATATATATTTATATTAAAAGCAAAATGTTTCATCATTGCCAACCGAAACCAAAACTAACACTTTTTGTAAAGTGCTCTAAATAGAGACTTGACTCTGCCTGGATATAACCAAATGAATCAAAACAGACAAGTACTACTTTATCCACATTTTCTGAAATATTTTGATTTAAATTTAAATTACTTTTATGCTAGTGGAGTCTTGGTCTTACAGTCAAAGAGAGTAAAGAAAATTATTTACATTCTGATGTAAATTAGTCTTGTCTTTACAATTTTTGAAAATTGAATTGTTAGATAGTTAATTTAATAATAATAGTCTGTCAACTGTAATTAATTAATTAAAATTAATAATTGATTTCTGGTAGATTAATAATAATAAAAATAAATTTTTCTTATATTTTTAATTACTTTTTGCTTTTGTTATCAACTATATTTGAGTGATGTAGAAATTTACACATTCTTACAATTGTTATCATGTAAACAGACCAAATTTGTAGATAATAAAATCAGTTGCATAAGCTATCAAAGAATTGGATTAGTTTCATAAAAATTTAATGATTCAAATTGACTCTCAGAAGTTTGCTTTTCCTGTCTTTGACAATTTGAGAATGCATTTAATTCAAGGATAATTATTATTATTAAGTATCAATTTTAGTAATTAATTAATTAATGAACTGTAATGTTCTATTAATTTCACATTCAAACCTTTAAATGCAGTATACTTTTAATTATACTCCAACATTTTCAGTCATTTTTAATGACCACCTTCAAAGAAAACAATACATACTAAATATAGAATAATGCTGTAAGTGTAGAACTTGTTAACTCAGTTTGAAAATTAACATATTAGAATGTAATTTTACAAATTGAAATTCACATGCCAAATGTTTGTTATTTGTTTAAAAATACAATAACCACTAAAAATTTTACAGTAAAAAAAAAAACAATATAGTATAGACTTAATATAAATAAATATATGTATAAAACTAAAATAAATCTTGATAAATATGGATAAATAAATAAAGCTCTGTGTCATATCAGTAGTGCTTTCCATGCTCTCAATGTTGCATTGCAGTCTCTGCGATTGATTGCTTGCCCCTTTTGTATTTGTATTGCTTTATAAATTTTCCAAGCTCTGGAGTGTTTTATCTACTACTTTTTCTATATTCTTTTGTATTATTTTAGCTGGTTTCAAACCACTGAGACAGAGGTAGGATCAGCAAGCACATATGTTGTGAGTGCTATATTAGGGATGGCTTTATTGATGATGTCTTTATGCTCTTTAATTCTTGCTGCTAGTGATCAATTAGTTGCTTGATATAACATAATTCTTGCTTTACTCTGCTGTCTTCTAGGGTTATTTGGTAAACCCTCAGTACATGGGTTGGATCAGTGGGCTGTTTGTTGTTCTGGAGTAGCCTATAAACAGTTGGATTTCTTTCAAACATTATTTT